CACTGTAAGCACAAAAGACAGCTTGATAACATCTTCCTAATAGTTTCTCCAAAACACCAGAGCTTATCCCAGCAACCTTCACCGCAAGTCTGTTTATTGGGAAAACGCAAAAAGCAGTTAGTTGTTTGGGTATGTCAATTTCAGCACATCATGGAGATCCTTCAGTATTTCTATTTTATTTACTTAACATTCCACTTTTGTCTCGAGGCAGTAGCTGGTCAATTGGGAATGAAGAGGAGAGCAGCCGTTACTGTGTGCAAATAGGATGTGGCTTGGATGTAATGAAGATCAGTAAACTACTTTATCGGAGAAACGCTAGACTCTAGATAATGCAGTCAGGATGAGTCCTGGCAAGTCTGAAAGGTGGTCTGCATTTGCATCTTATTACCCTCACATCCTGGTGCTCTTTATTGAGACTTATGACTGAAGTTGGCAAATAACTGTCAAGAGTATAGAAGTTAGGAGAGAGAACACAAACAGAAAGGAATCACGCACCACATCCTGAGGGAACTACAAATATACTCAAGCAAATCCATGATCTTAATCAATATAATTTCAGTGTATAATTTCAAAGTATTATATTTAAAAATATTTGTGTACATGTTTTATATTTTGTGTCATCCTATATATATATATATTCTCAAGAATATATATTTCTTTTGTTATTATTTTTCAAACACTTCCTGCATGATCTTTACTGTCCTCATTTTCACTTGTGACCAAAATCTAGAGGGATACATAAGCTTGTGCTGAAGTTTACATACTCTGTTTGTCACTTAGCTCTATGCAAATGAACTCTTATTCAAGCAGATCTAATTCTGTTCAATTCCAGCGATGGCTATTATGACTGCTGTTACTGTACTTCCTTGTTGATGCTTTCAATATAATATAGTTTATTCCACATACAATATTCATTTAGTTCACAGATTACATGTTTACACAAGGAATCCATCTGACAAAAATGGTTAGATACTATCACATATAAATAAATACTACACATTTGCAGATCTATTTGAAACAACATAAAAAAAATAATTGTGTTTAAAACAAAAAACCTGATTGACTATAATTTTGCTCCAGGCTTTTAAGGATTTTCTTTGAATGCATAGTTTTGTAGGGTGTTCTTCAATGGGTGTTGGTTCAGTTGTTTTTCTATGAGCAAGACAATAAATCGTTATTAAGTTAGTTTCATGTCTAAAATCACGTCTCTTTATTGAGTACAAACAGGATTTTAGGACATTAGAGATTGCTCTTAATGAAAGAACTGCCAAGTACAATCTCTACTTTTATAAAATACAAATACAAAATGTATATACAGTGTATATATATCTATACTAAAAGCAAATTATAAATTGCATTTTAATATGTCTACAGTACACACATTATTACCATAATGCAAATAGTAATTAATTGCGATAATTATAATTAATCAGTGAGCGAATTTTGACACTGAGTCAGTAGGGCTGGAAGGGCAGCCGCTTTTGCATAGTTTGTGCTTGCCGTTTAAAAATCATTTGAAACGTAGAAAAAATTAATTAAACAAATTAATAATCAATTAAAAAGGAATTGATGTCTGCGTGAGGTATATGACAGGCAGGTATAGCACATCCTATAATTTAGCAGTTTAGTCAAAATTTTCTAATGAGACTTGATCGCTTTATATTATATGAACAGATTTAATTTAGTCTTTTATTCGCATATAAACACTGATCAGCGAACATAAACAAAAGCTCAACCGTACTTGCTTGCCGTGCGAGAACAAACCTCATTGGTTATGAGGAGGCTCATGAAAATGAAATTGGTTCTCACACGTCAAGCAAACTTGAACTTCCGTTTACCATAACTGATGTGTGAATTGATTAATAATTATATTAGAGGCAGACCGATTTATCGGCAGGCCGATATTATCGGCCGATATTAGGCATTTTCCAAACTATCGGTAGTTATAATGGCCGATAAATGAATATTTCAAAAACAAAATAAAAATGGACGAAACACGCTTCAACCATGTCATGAGTGTTGGAGTTGTATCCACCAGAGGGGACTCTACACCGTCCCTGTTGGCAATACTCGTGTATAACGCGACACACATCCTGCAACCGGCTGATCCAGGTTGCAGTTAGCTTATAAGGCAATGTAGGGACTAATTATTATTATATTTTTCAGAACTTTAATATATTTTGATGTTCCTCTGTTCTGTTGTCACAATAAAAGAAACAAGTTTCTTTTAAAAATGTATTATCATATTATTTTAGTTAAAACTAAAATACATTTCTGAAAAAAAAAAAAATATCGGCCGATATATCGGAATATCGGATTTTAAAACCAACAAATATTTGTATCGGTATCGGCCTTTTTCGGTCGGGCTCTAATTTATATGTGAATAAAAGACTAAATTCAATCTGTTCGTCATATAAAGTGACAATATAAATTTGGAATAAACCGCTCAATTCATGTAGATTAATTGTACAATCTCTTTACAAAGTTTTTGAATTGTCAAAGTGGTAGTTGCGTAGCTGTCAGTGGAGGGACAGAAAGATCTTTTATTTGTGTTCCCAAGACGATTGAACGTCTTATGGGTTTTGGACCCCAAAATACACGAGTGTAATCAATAACAGAATTTTAATTTTGGGGTACACTACCCCTTTAAGACCTGACGCACATGACGTGAATTGGACACGCATTCAATTTTCTCACAACTCTTTACGTTAATCTAAGACTTTTTAACTCATTTAAGAGTTTGATTATGAATATACTGACCAAAAATGGGCATTTTGACAGTTTTTTGTCAATTCAAGTGCGAAAGTGGCTACTATCTTATTACGCTTGAATGGTTTAAAATCACTTGCAAGTTTATTTCTCACAATTCTAATACTATAATGTGCAATTCTGAGAAAATTGCTATTCTTTTTTTCACAGAATTGCGAGTCTATATCTAGAGATTTTGACTTTATTTGGCGATTGCTAAGCACTTATTTCTTTTTTTTATTCCATGGCAGTAACAAGCTTCCATAAACGCTAGCCACAGGAGGGCAGATGTTAATGTTGTGTTAATAACATCAAATATTTTAATAATACAATATTTTACATTAATATGTTATCTATCTCAAAATGAACAAGCAGCACTAACTAAATTAGGTTTGACAGTTGCCTTTTGAATGACCATTCCACTTGCATATACACTAATAAGTTCCTGCTGTCAGCACACATTCAAGGCCATGCCAGCAAATATAAACAGTGTGCTCAAGCATGAGTCTCAGCATTAGGGTAAACAAACATTGCAGCAGAACATTGGAGCAGAAGTGTGTTGGTGGTGTGTGTATGGAGGGGGGGGAGTATAAACTAAAAACTGAATGATAGCATCTCTAAAGCCTTCTCTCACTAAGGGGAGTTGCTGTTTATCGTCTTATCCTTGTATCTTTTTTGGGAATTATCTCCACTTAACTGTCTAAACTCACTTAGCTTGTAGCGAGAACGACTCTCTACACTGATGATGGGGATATTAGTTATCCTTTAGAGTGAAAGCTGTCCCAGAAACTGACGGGGAAATGAGTTATCAAGTTGGGTCATTTGCATACTTAAAAAAAAAATGCAAATGTCTTGGAATTTAACAACAACAAGCAATTTATACATCTCCCTTTGGCTTTTGTAGCTTATTAAAGTCAAATTACATGCAAATAAACACAAATCAGTGTTTAGCTCATAAACAAACAAACAGATTATTCAGAAGATTAAGCCTGCTGTTCACATTTTGCTCAAAGTGTATTTCTTGTAGGCAACATTAGGGTTTAAATCAGTATAATTTTTCTCTTGTACATTTACATAATTAGCATGGAACCATTTTTTCAGTTAAAGAGCTCTAATCTTCAGTTTTGGGTTGGTGTGGGTGTTCACAGCAGTTTGAATTGGGCCGATCCTAATATGCTAAATTAACACAGCAAACTTAGTGTTGTATTGGCAACACCTAATATTGTTATGCATACAAATCACAGGAAACAAAAGGCACATGAATGCATGAATAGAAATGCTGTCAACCTGCTGCATAAGATTTACAACATGAAAACTAATTTTACAGCAAAATTACATCAATTGTTCAAATGTGTCTGTTACTCTCACTCTCAACAGTATACGCCTACAATTTAAGTGCAATTCTGTTACATTTGACTTTTTTATTTAGATTATTTTTGCTTATCTTCAGAAACCTAATACTTTATCAATAACTTTAACTACTAGTTTTTTAGGTTTTTCACCAAACTCAGTTTTTTTAGCATGCAGTAAGACAAACAGTTTAAACATTTCCATGATTAGTTCTGTGACACTTTCTTTTTTTAATGCAAATGTAGTCATACAGAAGTCTAAGCCATACAGATGGTTTAAAATGGTTTGTAATTGTATAATCCATTTATAAAAGTAATCTACAATTGTATTAAAAGTAAAAAAAAGTATCATTTATGTTCAATTTAAATCAGACATGTTAACAAAATGTAAATATTGTGTGTAAATTTACAGGTAAATTTAGCCCTGAACTATTTAAAGATCATTCAGGAATTAGTTTTTATTTAAAAATGTTGTTATGTGATTCTAAAATAATAATGAAAAAAAAAAAAAACAATATATACTGTATATCACTGCACCGTTAATTTCATCAGATTTTTTTAGGTTAAACAGGCAGGACCATAAGCAATGAGCATCATTGAATATTAAGCCCCTCCTCTCAGGTGTAATCCAATCCAGTGCCCTGTCACAGGTAAAACCGGCCCCAATTTCTCAGTATATCCAAAAAAGCGAGAAAAGCCAACAAAACCCGTTCTCATACAGGCAATTCTAACGCAGCCCTCATCCCATTCTGAAAGCTTTGCTCCATACAAGAAGAAGAAGGATCGGATTTACAGTACCAACTAGAAAGTCCAGTTCGACCATAAGAGATGTCACAGGATCATGACAAGTAAGTTCACCACTGTAGGTCCATAGTTTACCGAGGGATGATCAACAGAAAAGGATCCTATGATTGAAATATTACTCACTATTTACTGCTTAATTTGCTGGAACTGACAAAGTTTAGCTCGACTCGTCTCAGTAATTCTGGAAATGTGGCTTACCACGAGGAGTCTGTCTGACAGCCGAGAGCCGATTCCGCTACACAGTTGTGCTGTTTGGTCTCTTCAGTTCACCTGTCATGTTCAGACCTGCTCCGGGACAGGTGTATGCACCTGCCGCGGGAGTTACGAGCATAGCTCTCTGTTTGACAGATTTGCGTGTTATTTGTGTTTTTTTGTACGTTGATATTCCTGATTTGGAGTGAAATTACATCGAGTCTAAATGGGAAACTTGTGGAAGCTTGACCTTTTTGTAAGAATTTATTAAAAGGCTGCTTATGTAAATACAGCTGGAACCAACATCTGTGTTTTTGGAAAGGTAATAATTGGTGACACATATTGGCTGAAATTGTTAAGTTTTTAGATAATGTTGTATAATGATTATTTTTCATAATAATGTTATGGATTATATTATTTTATGATTGATCAAGTTCAATTTTGTCAAAGTTTGTTTTGTAAGAAGAGTTGATTGAAACAGCCAGCTTTCTAGGCGTTGGTAATTTCTTAGGAACAGTGTTTAAGCCTGTTGTACATTGTTTAAAGCATGCAAATCTAACGCGACCTTGTAGGAAAAGTTAGAGTTTTTTAATTCTCAGAATTGGTTCAACTGTTCTAAAGAACATCAGACACCAAAGTAAATCCCAAATATTTGCCCATTGGTGAGCTTTTCCACATGCAAACAGAACTTTGTTTGACGACCATCACCATAGTGTAAGAAATGTGAGACCTTGTATCTGTGAATCCTGAAGGGAAAACTCTCTTGTTTAGTGTTTGGAGTTTGGCGGCTGTGCCCACAAACACATCATTAGTAATTTTGCGCTAAGTCGCCTCTTTTGTTTTAGAAGTGGGATTGCGTGTCCACAAGGTTGTATTGTCCCAGGATAACGGATCTATCAGGTTGCAAAAGTAAAATCAAACAAGGAGAAAGAATGGTACAATTAGTTATCAAATTACCCATAATCCGCTTGCGTTAAACAATTCTGGATGCAAAGTTTTGTCATAGCAACTTAAATAGATTCATTCTATTATTAAAGGCTAATAGTAGTGTTGTGTGACAAGTAAACCAAGAGATACTAACCATCATCATGTTGAAGCCATTCCTAAATAAAATCGAAAAGGCATGAATACTCGAAAACTTCATCCTCTCGAAAAAATGTATGTGCTTAAACACAGTAGATTTAATTTTAAAAAGGTCACATGTATTTGATGGTAGAGTTCCCCACCTTAACCTCAGCCTTCTTGAGAAATTAACTCCACTTTTGCCTTTGTTTTATTCCTTAAAAAGCAATTCTGTGCTAAACTACTTCCTTCCGCCATGGATTTAATCCTCAAATTGAAAGTTTAACAGTTGAGCCCAAGCCTCAGTTACTAAAATGAAAACTAGCAATGAAGGAACGCTTCCTTTTAACAGTTAAGGGGATTCACCGTGAAGGGGATAAGGGGATTCATCTGGAGCAAGTCATTGATTAATTAGAGCAAAGATTGCCTGTTTGATAGATGCAACATGAATTATACCTTGTGTTTAAACACTGTCTACATAAGAGCCAGTGGCAAATTCCCGAAGGACTGGCTGAGATGTACATGAGCGATAAACAGCCGCTCACATTTCTAAAAACGTTGAAGCACATTTTTTAATCGGCAAATACATTCTTGCCTAAAAAACTCTTAAAACAACATTCTGTGACAAACAACAGTTGTATTTGTAAAATTATGTTGGGTTTGCTGGTCTGCCGTGACACTCACTATGAGAAAAACTGCAAGCGGAGTGATACAAACGGTGAAATGGTTCCTGTGGTGATAATATCGCATGGCTGGGAAGAGTCAGATTCAAAGGCCTGAACTAACTGTATAAATATTTCATAAGCACTGGACCAAAGTATATTCAATCTCCGTGAACCACCTTTGTCTAGAAAATAGATGATGGTACTCATGAGAATGACAGAATGATGACGAAAAAGGCCATAACCGGTTTTCTTAATGAACTTTGTCACAGTCAGTGAAAAGTCACCAGATCTCCTTCTGACACTTTACTGGCTGTCTTACTGGAAGAGCCAGTGAAACATGTTGTCAAACGGGAAGCTGCGGTCTTTGCAGAGATTTGTTGTTGGGCCCAGTTTTTGTCTCAGATCCTGAGATAAAGAAAGCCTTTCACAACAACGACCTGCTCTTCTGTCAACTTTAACACCAGCAATAACGCCAAAACATCTTCAGATTGTTGAAGCTCATCGTCCATTTTTTCGTTCCTTTTAACTGTTTTAAATGTTTCTAAGATTCATTTAGCTTTTAGTCTTGTACTGATGGCTCTTTCTGAACTGTTCCTCACAGTAAGCGGCCTGTGCTCGTGGTACAGAATGATCCGGCTTACAACCAGCGCCGGCCTTACACAAGTGAGGATGAGGCCTGGAAGTCGTTCCTGGAGAACCCTCTCACAGCCGCCACCAAGGCCATGATGAGCATTAATGGAGATGAGGACAGTGCCGCAGCTCTGGGTTTGCTATACGACTACTACAAGGTATATGAAGAAGATTAACTCCAAGAATAGTAATTAATAAAAGCATTTTGTAATGCACTTTTCTAAAACCCAAAGTACTACTAGCAAAATAAGCATTATATATGAACAAAATAAAATTAAATCACTGCAATATCTGGTTAAATAAGCAAACAAAAATACAAAGAATGATTTTATATTAATTTTAATTCATAAATTATTATCAGTTGCACTTTATTTTACAGTGTCCCTGTAACACATCTAACCATGTACTTAACAGGGTATTAACAGTAAATGATCATAATTACAAGCAACTAAACCAAACCTTAACCCTGATTAGTAAGCACATAGATTAATAATACTTACTCAGAACTGTAATTAAAAGGGCAATTCAAAATAAAGTGTAACTTTTTCAATTATTTAAAAGTTAGGTTTTCGTAATACACTCAAATCAAAATGTATTCATTTATTCGCTATTGTTTAGAAAATGGTTATTAAATATGACAAGAACTTGATATTTCACTGGTTTTGGCCATCCGTCTGTTAGAGTGTCTCGCAAATGAATTAGGTTGAGTCAGCTGTTAAATTTAACTTTACAATTAGATAATACCAATTTAGGTCAACCAATAACCAAGCAATGCTTAATTTTGTTCAGTCTGTGGTGTAATAATATCACATTATCAATTAAAGAAAAAACACTTAAGCAAAACAACATTAGGTCAAAGCATGTTTAACTGGTCTCATTGCATGAAGAATTTTTGAGTGTAATATCTCAGTTTACTTATTTTGCTATCCTCACTTACATAAATAAACTATAGTGTCCTGCACAAATATCACAAATTATATCTGGTGTCTGAATAATTTTTGGTTTAACTGTAACATCATTTCCATTTTAAAGAAGGAAGAAAGGAAAAACTAACCTTGTGTATATCAGTATGATTATTATTTGAGTTCTACTTAACTAAGGATGGATTTAATGATATCCGACATCTAAGTCTGTTAAATATGTTCACCGACAGATATAATGGGTAAAGCTGATGCTATTGGATGTGGTCAGACTAACGTAGAGTTTGTTTACTTTCCCCAGGTGCCACGGGATAAGAGAACAATATCCCAGCAAAAGACTGACGTCCTGGGCTCTGATGTGGATCCCAACAAAAGGTGAAGCTCTCATCAAAGATGCAATAATGAATGCTATTTTTTTCCCACACTGAGGAGATGAGACCCTTTTTTTAATTATTCTCTTTTAGGAATGCAATTACAGTCAATAATAATCTGTTAAAAAAAAGAATCGACGACCATTTATACGATTGATTTGATTGGTCTGTTTGACTTTATAGTAGCAAAAACGTGCACAAGCTAAACTGTTGCAAGCATAAGTGCACTTTATGTTAAAATCTTCAAATATCATGCGCATAGAGTTTAATGTTGCCATTCTGCCGTGCCAGTGTGCATTTCTTGCCTATTTTGATGTAAATTTAAAATTCTTCTCGAATAAGACGATATTTAGGGTGGGACTTGATTTTCTCCATTGAGAACTGATTGGATCGTTAGAGGGTTGTGGTTTGCTATTGCTATTATTTATAATAATGCCTGTGTTGATTTCATGGTGACTTTAATGAGCTTGTGATTCTCCCCAGCAAAAATATATTCTGTATTTTAATCTTGTTTAAAGCCTTACATGTTTACATTTCGCTTTAGACTAAGGTATGTGAATGTGCTTCTGCATGCTTGTAGGTTATTAAAATGTTATTACATTCTCAACAGGAACATGATGGCCCCTCTCCAAGAGACGTCAATGCCATCGGAGAACAGAATTCAGGTTCTGAAAGGAGTACCCCTAAACATTGTTCTTCCAGGGAACCAGCACACCCAGGACAAGAGAGGCCTTTTCCCCTCACCTGACACTACGGTGACGGTGTCCATCGCGGCTGTGCCAAACTACTCCGTGAAGACCGAGGGTTCATCCCACGGTTTCTCGGTCACGGTCCCCAACCCTCACTGCTCAGAACCAGACAGTCACACGGTGGGATTCGACCGTCAGCTCCCCCACAACCAGTTCAGCCCAAACACACAGCCACGCACCCCAGACTCGACCTTCCCAGAAAACTCAGACGTAAGTTCACACACATCTCCTGTCTCCCACCCTCAGACAATACTTCATTTACCTGGCGACTCTAAAGACATTGTTGGATTGAACCCCCTCCCTATTTTTATTTGAACATGCCAAAATAGCAGCTAGCATGTCATTATGCCATTGTCTCTCTTACACAATAAAGTGCTGTATTTTCCTCTCACATAATAGCCAGGTCCTTTTCTTTTCCTTTCTCTCTCTCTTGCCCGCTCTCATTCCCGCTCCCTCTCTCTACCTTCTCTTTAAACCTGGAGGGAGGATTTCCTTAGAAATGATAGTTCCACAAAAACCTTACACACACACAGGGAGCTGGGAGAGCCGTTTGTTGTTTTTTTTTCTTTGGCTTAGCAATCAGCTTTCTCTCACTGACTGAATGTGTGGCAGCGTGGTGCTTGTTTGCGCTAATGCCAGGCCCTCTCGCCCCTCTTTTGTGCGCTACAGGTGTTCTCGTTCCCAGGGGATCTCCAGTTACGCATGGTCTCGCAGGAAGACTACGGAACGTTTGACACAGTGTCAAGGTAAGCGAATGTTTGCTGCCAAAAACAAAACCCCAGAGAAAAACCTCATTCCCTTTAAGTGTCTCCCGGGGAGTCAGGAGGTTTTATCATCTGAGTGCGTGTGTGCAAACAGAATAGGGTCGCTGTTGGATCCTGACAGGTGCACATGGCCCATGGGCAAATGAAAGTGTACCTACAACAAATATGATGAGCTCTTCTGTGTAATAGCAAACAGGGAAATTGTCATGGGTGTAATTTGTCAGATGGTGCAAACGCAAATATGTATTACTGACCCCCTTTTTTGTGTTTTGTCGACAGTAATAATTTTGAATACATGTTAGAAGCCTCTAAGTCTCTGAGGCAGAAGTCTGGTGATGGCACAATGACGTACCTCAACAAGGGCCAGTTCTATCCCATCACCCTCAGGGAAACCGACAATGGCAAACTGATGCACGGCCCCATCTGTAAAGTCAGGGTAAGATCAGTATTAAAATAATAATTATTATTATTTTTTTTTTTTGTCCCAAACTGTATTTGGACACTTCATCTACACTTTAAAACAATTCACACACATTGGGCTTTCATGTCTTATGGGAACCTTTCATTAACATAATGATTTTTATACTGTACTAACTGTATTATATCACATATAACCGCAAACACAGCCCCAAACTTTCTGCATTTTTACATTTTCAAAAATGCATCATTTTATATGATTTATAAGCTGTTTCTGTTATTTCTGGTAAGGAATACCTGAACCACATACACACACTCACACACCAAAAATGGCTCTGAAAAAAAGGTTTCAACAAAAAGACCTATCATTTGTTTTGCAGATGCCACATATTCTAGTCTAATATAGTGACATTGCATACAGTAGATTACTGTAAGTGTCCAGATACTTTCCAATCAAATTTGTATATATTTAAGAGTGACTGAAGTGTGTTAATACTTTTTGGAGTGCTGAATGTTTGAGTGTGTACACTATAATGGAAAGCAGTAACACCGTGCTGTTTTTCAGAGTGTTGTGATGGTAGTGTTTGGAGAGGAGAAAACCAGAGATGACCAACTCAAGCACTGGAAATACTGGCACTCGAGACAGCACACGGCCAAACAGAGATGCATTGATATCGGTGAGGATGTCACTACACCTCTGATCTCACTGATCTTAGTCACACTTTCAAGTTTCTTTGGGTCCAGTGCAGTTCAGGGTGGAGTAACGACACAGACAGCAAACACAGACAAACTGGACGCAGGGAAGGGGGGCTGCAGGTGGGGACAAGACAATAGGTCAAGGGGAGAGCCATCAATGACACAACAAATAAAAGATGAACATTGTAAAGCTTGAAAGGGTACACAGCATTATCTTGCTTTCAATGAAAGTCGACTTCTGAGGGAAAAATACCTTTTGATACTTAATATCACATTACAAATTTGTTATAATGTTGCATCACAACAGTTTTTCCAGCAGCATATGTTGAATTGATTACATTTAACTATCTTGATTTGATCTAAAAAGTCTACTATAGTCAGTTCTACTTGTCTTATATCTGCAACTGAGATTTAAAAATATGATTTCCAAAATCATTTGCCAATTCTCAAAATGCTCATTAATCAAGCTCCTCTTGTCTCCCACAGCGGACTACAAAGAAAGTTTCAACACCATCAGCAATATTGAGGAGATTTCATATAACGCCATTTCATTCACATGGGACATCAGTGAGGAAGCAAAGGTAAAGACATTTTGGGCACTTCATTATTTCTAATCAATAAACAACATTATTGGTGTTTGATTCACCTCTTGATATCTAAAGAAATTAATATGAGATTGGTGAAAACGGCTTTCTGTTGAAAGGCTTTAGACTGAGGCTAAAGGTGAATATTTGCTAAATTTCCTTCTGTTAGAATTCTTGGTATGTGTTTTATGTATTTTAAATAGACACAACCTTTTAGGAAAAGCATGACTGACATGAAGATTTACACTCAAAATAAACCTGATGCTCAATACATGTACACAAACAAAGGATTTATTCAGGATCCACAAACAAAGTGTGCTGTGACCCATAAGAAAAATCCTAAGAAAGTGTGAAGAAGAAGGGACTACTATGTTCTCAGATCATTAGGTTTGACAGCCCTATTTTGTGCGAAACTGATGTGTTAATGAGGAGACGCACCCAACAATAGGGTTAAGAATGAGGAAACATTAACGGGGGAGCAGTGAGCACTGTGACAGGAAGGCTGATGGAATCCTGTTCGACGAGTGTGTCCAGACTGGTCGGGTTAAACCCGTCACCAAGTGACGAACAGATTTTGGTTAAAATCTTCTACCTCTGTCTGATTAGTTTGGATTTTCCATCTGTGTTCTCGAAGTCGAAGGATCAAAGCAGGCTGTTAAAGGAATAGTCACGCACATGTGTGTATTGATATAATTATAAGTAAACAATTCATAGTTTAAAGAATGAAATTGAGTATTTTGAAGTGTTATCCTATAACCAGGATGCAGATCATAAGATAGACCTGCGCTGTAGGATACTCATCCGTGTGCTCAGTCTACAGTGTCTAACACTGTTGGCAGTGTTGTATGTGGGCGTGGTTTGGATTCTGTGCACTTGGGTGAGAACCAGAAAGAGAGAGAGATCAGGGCAAAACACTAATGTGTGTTGGAAAAGGATGGCTGGAATGTTCTTGTGGCGCGCCCTAGAGGACTTTTTGAGAAAGTACAGGCATTTAGTGAATGCTTGTGCAAATATTTGATTAGCGTAGTTGAATGCCCATTTGTTTGTAATTCTCATTTTGTCTCTGGTCTTTTGTTAATAATCCATTATTACGTAAGATGCTCTATTGTCATTGGATAAAGTTAAGTAAATTTTGCTTTGGTGATACAGCGGTAGGAATAAACAGATGATGATCGAGAGTTATACATATACACAACAGATCAAAAGTTTGGGGTCGGTATGATTTTTTTTTAATAAAGAAATTGATATTTTTATTCAGCAAGGACATATTGAGTTGATCAAAGTTACGGTAAAGATGTTTACATTGTTACAAAAAAAAGTTTTTCTAATAAATGCTGTTCTTTTAAACTTTCTATTTATAAAAGAATTCTGGATTTTTTTTAATCATGGTTTCCAACAAAAGATATTAAAAAGCACAACTGTTTCCATCACTGATGATAATAATAAGAAATGTAAAAAAGTTTTTTGAGCACTAAAACAGACTGAATTAATGGCAATAAAAATAAAGTGATAAATTTTATTTTATTACATTTATTTATAATTTGCATTATTAATACATTTACATTGTAATCATATTTCTCATTAATATAGATAGATAGATGGCATGACACTCTGGTGTTCCCATTTCACCTCTCACAAACGTTTTAGAGCATTGACAGAAAACAGAATTTATAAGTTCAAAACAAACACACACTAATTAAAGTTAGACTAAAGACTAAAAAGATCAAGTATAACATTTGTCAATTGCATTCAGTGCATTTTGAGGTTTTCTCTTGGTTCTAATCTCTTTTACTTTACTGCACTTTTTTGTTGAAAATGTAAGAATAAATTATTTTAACCAGTCTGAAATTTTGTTCAGTGTGCAGTTAGCTTTTTGAGGACGCAAAAAGGACGCAACGTTCTCTATTTCCAAGGATTGATTTGTAACAAATGATGCAACAAACATTGCAACATTAATTGTTCCCTCTCTTCTTTCCACAGATCTTTATCTCAGTGAATTGTCTGAGCACTGACTTCTCCTCTCAGAAGGGAGTGAAGGGCCTACCGCTCAACCTACAGATCGACACCTACAGCTACAACAACCGCAGCAATAAACCCATCCACCGCGCATACTGCCAGATTAAGGTCTTCTGCGACAAGGGTGCAGAACGCAAAATCCGTGATGAGGAGAGGAAACAGTCCCGCAGGAAGAGCAAGGGCCCTGACATTAACGCTGCTCTGGGAAACTGTAAGCACATTGTTTACCTATTTCAACTGACCCGATACTTTCGTTGAAAATGTAAGTCTGAGCTCAGAAGAGACTTGCTTTTCACTCTATTCTTGCCCCATTTTTCTCAGTTGGGCCAGATGTCAAGGGGCCCCTCATGCACAAACGCAGCGACATCACTGTCTTCAAGACAATGACAGAATACGAGACGCAGCCTGTCCTTTTTATCCCCGACATCCACTTCTCCACCTTCCAGCGTCATGTGAGTACCAATCCTTAACATTGTGTGTAAAACGTTTTTTTTTAGTTTTTTTTTGCACATAAGATATATAATAAATATCATTACAATGTTTCAGATTTATAGACCGCAAAAAGGGGCAAGATTATGATATTCTCAGCTTTCGGCAGCTATTCGGCAGACTTATGAAACTCAAATGCTCTGTGCTCTATTGGTGTACAGGTACAGTGTGTGTTATGTCACATTGCATGTGAGCACTGGTGATAAGATACAAAGATAGGAGAATGGACGATAATGTAGGCCTACGTTTTTGCAGCATGTGAGCACAATCATAGTTTAGAATGATTTTGACCTCATTAACTCCAGTTTTTGCACGACCCCGTATCTTATCTGTTAGGTTTAGCCTCAATGGTCCAATCAGAGAACAATGAATGACACCAGAATGCCGGTGCGAGAATGGGGTGATTGGCAAAAACACACAGGGCAAATTAGCTTTTGTTTAAACAGTTTAGGACATTTCCTCATATGAAGAAAACTGCTTTACGTGTTTACATGAACTTATACAATACGGGTTATTAAACACAAACAGTGTAAAATGCATGAAAACGCACTCAGTGGCTTGGAACGGAAAGATTGTTGACAGATCAGTCAGTCAGTCAATTAATCAAATAAGAATTAAAAGATATTCCTTTTTTATTTTGTGTCCCAGTGATGAACGTAAAAAAAAATAAGCATTATAAATACATTATATAATTACTATTTATTAATTGACTATGTTATTTATTAATAAATTATAAATAATAAAAAAAATATTATAATTAATTATTATATGGGCTATTTGAAAAATGAACCTCTTATTTTTCTTGTCAATCTTTTTTTTTTATCATTTTATCATTTAGTGAATTTTTAATTTTGTTTTTGAATTTAAAATTTTATTTCCAATTAAGAAAATTAGCAACCTGACACTGCAATGTTTTTCCAACCTAGTAAAATGCCCTTAGTGGTGTTAACAAAATGATTTTTTTAATTTTAAAATTTGTGGTCTCTTGCAAAAACGATTAATGATCTAAATGTAAGTACCACTATGACGAAGCCCCTAACAGAATTATTCTATTTTCCCTATTATCCTCCACATATAAGTGACTTTGCATAAAAGCACATCGACATCCTTTCAGTGCTTTTTATTGCATGCGAGAGCACAGACTACTGGAACATTTGGCAGAAATAGCAGATTTTCGTTGGGTCACGGTGACCGGAATGATGCAGTCAGTTGGAAGGAATATAGTCGTTTCTCACAGTTATAAAATCTGGCATTTATGGCATGGGTTTGGCTGTTATCTGAAAGTTCTTTGCAAGGCATCACATCTTAAGCCAACACACACTTTCTTAACAAATAAAAACATGCCTAATTTGTCCTGCCAGCTTTATTCAGAGTACCATTCAGGTTACCAAATACCATAAACATCAATGGTACCCATCACATGTCTTTTAACTTTAAGGTTCTCAGACCTGGAAGTTATTTATTTTATTTTTTTTAATAATTTCAGTTTCTTGGTAGAACGCTTCCTTTAACTTCACTCTCCACCTTTGCTCACAAACCTGTTCACCCATATGGCAAAAATCACATGACTCCCCGTTCTGTTGGAAAGCAAATGTTAGACACTGTCCTTAAACATGACCTTTGATCATCAGTAGTTGTGTGACATTGATGCCCAGAGTGTATCTAGAGCCAAAAATAAACCTTCTGGCTATTTACTTTTCACTAAATCACACAAAATGAACAAGAAATGTGAACTTTGCCATACTTTTTTAGTGTCACACAAATGAAGCAAGTTTAGAGCCACGGAAGGATGTTAAGTGCTTTTATGTGCTTATGCAATGTTGACATGTTCTGAATGATCTGTTTTATGCTCTGGGGGTCTGACAGCTTTTGTATTGAGTTTACATTGCAGTATGCAGGAATAAAAACATATACAACTAAAAGATTACATAAATAAAAACAAAGTTGGTCTGAATTTTACGAGTGCATCATTATCATCACAAGTAGGTTAAAATGTTTTAGCAAGTGTTAATGGTTAAACCCATTGGGTCTTCAGCAGGGCGACTGTGGTGGTCCTGCAGGGTTATACAGTAGTTTCATCTCAAACTGATTTTTGTGGCATAAAATAAAGAATTTTAGAAGCTGAAAGTTCAGCTGAATGTTTAATTTTACACCTACATTAAACTATATTAAGTAAAATTAAAATGTAACATTTTAAAGACTTTCCAATGTAAGCTTCATGTAAATATCCTGTACACTATTGTTCAAATGTTTGGGGTATTGAAATAAGTCTCTGTGCTCATCAAAGCTGCTTTTATGTGATTAAATATACAGTAAAAACAGTAATATTTTAAAAATATTATTACAATTCAAATGTATCCCTCTGATGCACAGCTGAAATTTCAGTCTTGAGTGTCACATTATCCTTTAGAAAAAAAAAAAAAAAGTTAATTTGGTGCTCAAATAACATTTCTTATTATCAATGTTGAAAACATTTGTGATGAATAATATTTTTGTGGAAACTGATAAAAATTTTTTCAGGATTCTTTGATTAAAGTTGAAATGGGATTTTTTTTAGGAATGTTAAAGTATTTGCTGACACTTTTGATCATGTTAATGAGTCCTTAAAAAAAGAATACTGTCACAGTATGTTAGCAAACGGGAAAACTGGATCAAAAAGAAAAAAATAGCAATTGAACACAATGAAAACTAAGATGGTTAAAAACCCCCAAAAGAGTTCAACTGGGGAGGGAGGGTGGGCTGGACACTCTGAAGGGGTGGCAGGCTAGGAAGCCTCAAGGGTCACACCAGTAATGCCAGGGAGGTACCAGCAAATATGTAACTAGGCTCCGAAATATATTCTGAAATATTGAAGGTTTTTGTTAACGAATGGTAAATTAACTGTTAAAAGGGCTCTATATTTTTTGTTAATGCTGTATTGTCTTTTCTCATTATAGCCTTTCTCACAGGAGGACTCAGAGGAGGGGTAAGTTTCTGTCTCCTATCTTCTTTGAGCTCATTTATGTTGGGAATGCTTGTTCGAGACAGAGTATGGGTTCAAAATGTGCATTATAGAGCAAACAGCCTTTAGCTTTTCCCTGGAGTGTAGCTTTTCTAGGAAATGTGCAGGTGCTGTTTGTGTAATTGGCAATGATGTACTCGCCTCCTTTTTTCGATTGGGATGGTGGTTTTCTCAGAACTACACTCATCTCCCTCCTCACTTTTCCTCTTTCCCTCATGTTCTTCAGCTCAGCTATGAAGAGATTACCTTATTCCGAGGAGGAGTTTGGATCACCTCCCAATAAGCTGGCAAGGATGGATGAGCCCAAAAGAGGTGTGTTTTAACTGGAACTGCGTTGTATGTGATTAGGTGGATGAGACAGATCTTTGGGTATTTCTGTGTTTATTTCAGTATTGTTTGCACTGCAGTATTAGTGCTGTTATGGTGCAATGCCATTTGGTTGCTTGCGAGTAACCGCACACAAAAACACTGTAATTCAAAACACATTTGCTCTGTTTCAAAACCTAGTGTGCTGCCTATGGTGGATACCTTATAAGATGCCTTGTTTTAGACATATTCAAAGGCAGGATTACATGTATCCTTCATGGAATAGGCAATCCCATAATGCACTGCAACAAGTTCAGTAAAAAAATCAAGATGGTGAATGATTGATTTTAAGTATACTTTGCAACTGAAAAGTATCAGTAAAATATAATAACATTCAATAAAATGTAATTGTAAAAAATATAATACAAATAAATGTTCAAATATTTCATTTGGATTATTTTGCCCAGTATTTGTCAATATCAAATTGTATTGGAACCAATTGCATGTGAGTGGCACTACTTATGTGACATGCATAGTCACTCTACCAAGTGTTCCAAATCGTCACTTATGAGGTTCCATGATGCTAGGATGTTGCTTTAGAAGCCAGTGGCCTATATAGGTAGTAGGTACTAGTAAGGTAGCTGACTATAGGTTTTGGAACAGAGCTAATTATAGACCAGTGTGTCTCAGCGTTTCAAAGGCAAACACTGCTGCTTCGGTCACTTCAACAAAGGATGTAGAACCAAATATCTGTGGGATCCGGTAAAAAAATTATGGAAATTTGCAGGTCATTGGAGGCTGCCAGCCCTCCCAACATGATTCCTTTCCTCCCTCTCCTTGCCTCCAGCTTGTTTGCCCGTTAAATAGCAGTCATGGTCAGCCATGTGTGGGTTTGTGTGGATGTTTGTATCTATCTATAAAAAAAAATACTCTTGCCAAAGGCGACACGTCAGCTTTGGAATTGGATCTAATGTTTGTAATCTGTGTACTCCGGACTGTCCACATTACTGAAAGTCCCTTGGTGTAAGCACAGTGTTCCCAGTAATGGTTTGGGATGCTGCCCAGTACTTCTGGGGTTTTTGGGTGAGAGGGGAGAGGGGGGGCGGCACCGGTCAGACTTTATAGACATGAGCAGAAACCATTACTACAGGGATCACCAAGTGAAATACAAAGTCATTAAAGCCATGCATTAGAAAAACATATCAAATCACCTGCCACATGAAAGTCTTGGCAGAGGACTTTGACTTTACTTTGGTTTATTTTGGTTAGCAAATCTGACCACACGTTTAAGAAAACTGGGCTTGCAGTTTGAGCATGAGTGACCATATATAACTGACCACATTTTTCTGCCTTTGCAGTTTTGCTGTATGTGCGCAAAGAGACAGAAGAAGTGTTTGATGCTCTCATGCTGAAAACTCCTACTGTAAAAGGCCTAGTGGAAGCGGTGAGTTCACTTCTCTTTCCCCAAATGTCCTCATTCAACATTATTAGTGCAGTCTGCTAAGGCACATAGGAATTTGGAATTAGAAATTTGAACATACATTCCCATAATGAATTGCGATGAGCTCTGTGGAAAAAATATATCCAAAATGGAGGACTTTGAAAGCTATCCATTAAATAGTATAATTGAATATTGTTAAATATATTATCAAATAATAACAATAATTGGTTTGAACCAAGCCAGATATTTTGAGAATGCCTGCTCTATTGAAATCAATTTCTGATCAAGCCAAATCATGCTTGTTAGAGGACATGTGCTGTCATGTTTTGAAACAATCATACATACATCATTTTCTCCCGGATGAGAAGTTAACCAAAAACCCCAAGAGTACCTTAGCAAATAACACTGCCCTGCTGTCCATACACAACACTCAAACATCATGGTGCTTTGTTTTAATTCAGGCAGGCACGAACCACTCACATTTCTTCAGGATATCTAAATCTAATTTAACTAATACAATTCTAATGTTAAAGGACATGGCCACAGAAAGAATGGAGAACATTGAACGTTGTAACCGTATCATTTTGTTTCGTGATGCATCCTTTAATTGCACCACAAATAGACAAAAACACACACAAACACTGTTTCCAAGAGAGCTCCCTCCCTAAAATCATACGTCATACAACTACAGCGACGTTTCTAATGCAGCACAGCACCTACCAGAGAAATTGAGCAAAAAAGAAAAGAAAAACAGGGCCAGAGAAGTGCAGTAACTGCATGTGGTCAATGCAGAGTCCCTGAAATAAGAGCCTGAAGCAGGGTGATTTAATGGGCACTTTGAGTTACATAGCAAGAGATTGACTGTCAACAGGCCGTCTGCATTAAAACATAGCAGGAGGTCAGCATGTGAATCACACTGCCTTAAAAACACAACCAGCTAATAAAAACAAAAGCTGGCATGGGCTATACAGTGTCCTGCGACAGGTATAAGAAAGTGTGCGTGTTTTTGTGTGGTGTGCGTAACAGAATGCTTTCCAAGGTTGGGGGTTTGAGAGAACATTAAGGCGAACCATTTGTATCCCGAAATAAGATGAACTTTGATACTAGTTGGCTTGAAAAATGACTTGGGTCTACAAATGTTCCATTTAAGAAGTACATGGGTTGCATTACCATGAATTACTGCACAAATACTTCATACTTATTGTGCTGAGTTGCTTAAAATGATCCATTGCTATGTAAATAACAATAACATGCATGTCAGATAGACACAGTAATGTAAAGTTTTACTTATGGCCCCTGCTAATGGATCTCCTATCCACCAGATTTCAGAGAAATATGAAGTTCCTCTTGAGAAGATGGGAAAAGTCTTCAAGAAATGCAAGAAAGGGTAAGGCACACAGATTTCTTTAAACTGTGGCTATAAATTGAATACAGCATAAAGAGTATGTATGTATTACATTCATTATCTATAATTAATATATTATTTTAATAAAAAAATATTTATATTATTACATATTCTATATATATGGTTATATTTGGTACATCCAATTTTTGCATATTACTGGGATATTGGATGTTTATTAGTACTTATAAAACATATATTATTGCCTTATTCTGTCATTGGATCATTCTGGGGTTAAAACTAAACCATAGTGTCCCGCCATCTCTGCTTCATTTCAGGATCATGGTAAACATGGATGATAACATCGTCAAGCACTATTCCAACGAAGACACCTTCCAGATCCAGATGGAGGAAATGGGAGGAATGATTAAGCTTACACTGACAGAGATTTGAGAGTTATTTTCGAGTCATCCTTCAGACTGGTTTACACAAGTCCACAGACCATTCCTCCTACTCTATTTGGATACCAGAGATCCCTCAGCAACTCGCTGTCATCTTTTAGAATAATCTGATGAACAGTTTTCACGTGACCAAGTGTATGAGCCTTAAGTACTTGTGAATTTAGAGTGAAATAATGTAGAGTAAGTGTTTCTTCCAAACACCTTAAAGGTTTTGAGCCATATTTTCTAATTTTTCTGAGTATAAGCGAACAGCTGCAGATTTTTACTATTTCTCATTCTTTTTGTGACTCTGAAAGAGATCACAATAACAATTTACTCTTCATTTTCCTGTTTAAAGTCATAGCACTGGAGACGCTAATCTCTAATAAGGACAAATGAACAGGGTGTTACTTCTGTAGTAAAATGGGTTTGGGGGGATCCTATTTGCTTCACTGTATTGATACAAATACCCTGAGCAGTATTTAGAAAGTACAGTATATTAATCTTTGCTCAGCAACTCCGTGAGGTGCGGTGCCACAAGCACTGTGTGTATGAGCACATTATGATTTATAAATGTAATGGAACAACCCTTTTTTTAACCAACAATGGTCATTTCCCCAATTCCGAATATGAACAAATACGGTCCATACTTCAGGCCCTCTGATTAATCCTTCAGGAGGTATTTTCAAAATGTGATCCATAAAGAATCAGTATAAACTTCCTTTTTTAACAACAACAAAAAAAAACAATGCAGATTGATAAACATTATGCTGTATTGTTAGTGAATGGACTGCAATGCTCTACACATTTATAATATAACAAAAATTTGCGATCAGTTCTAATGTAATTCATGATTACCAGAGTTCCTGTAGCTACTGCTATATCAGTTTTGCCCAAAAACATAGATGTATGTATCTTTGAAAATCAGCAAATAAGTAGTATTACATTTATCTTATTTGGTTACCCAGTAACCATTATATGATGCCCCATACACTGCTGTTACTTTGAGAGGAGAACATATTCATCCTTTCTGTTGTCGTTGATGAAATGTACAGGTTTAAAATCATTTTGGAAAAGCTTCTAAATGTTGTCTTAAAAACTGATATTGTCTTTTTTTATCATTTATTATGTATATATTTATTACTGGGATGGGATTTTTTTATAACTATAGCAAAGAGTCAGTTTTCTAATTATCTTTTTAAAAATTTAAATGAAATCATTCTAAATGATCTATTTATGCAAATGGGATTTTTTAGTTTGTTATTAATGTCTGATTTGGTTTTAATGTGCATATTTAAGTGCTCTTATATGCAATTTTCCTTCACTGAACTGTTAGTCAGATATGTTTCCTTTTGTATCAAATACACATCTTAAGCTCCAATAAAAGCCACTTGGGACTGTGTATTTTATTTGGCTGTCTGTGTGTTCTGTGGTTTTCAGCTAGCTGTATCCAAAGTAGTTGTCATGGAAACAGGCTGTGCTCCAATAGCCCATCTGTCTGGTGGACAGGAAGTGGCCGGCTAAATAGAGTGTCTTGAATCAGAAGTGGCCTCAAATACCCCCTCAGCCTCAGTTTACCTCCTTTTAGTTCCTTCTTGGAAAAATATTCACTCTTCATCAGGGAGGAACCAAATACACACACACACACACACACACACACACACACACAATAATAATAATTTAACATCACGTAACAATATTTTGGAATGAGACCTCTACAATACTCTGAAATATGAGTGGCTATATTTGTGAAAAGATCTTAGTGACTTTGACAAGGGCCAAATAGTGATTGCTAGACAATTCTAGCAATCCAAAACGGGAAGTTTTGAGGGGTGTTCCCAGTGGTTAGTGCCAAGCAAAACTGATGCAATGACGGACAACCAGGGTCATGGGCACCACATGGGGAGCAAAGACTAGCCTGTCTAGTCTTATCACACAGAAGAGCTACTGTAGCTCAAATTACTGAAAAACGTTATGCTGCCCATGATAGAAAGGTGTCAGAACACATTGCATCACAGTTTGCTGTGTATGGGGCTGAGTAGCCTCTGACCAGTCCGAATGCGCATGATATCCCTTGTCCACCGCCAAAAGCATATACAATCGGCATGCAAGCATTAGATTCAGAACTGGACCATGGAGCAATGGAAGAAGGTTGCCTGATCTGAGGTATCACATTATCTTTCAGATCGTTTATCTGGGGAAGGGATGGCAGCAGGGTGCACTATGGGAAGACAAGCCGACAGAGGCAGTGTGATGCTCTGGCCAATGGCCTGATAGGAAACCTTGGGTCTTGGCATTCGTGTGGATGTTACTTTGACACGTACCTAAAGATTGTTGGTGTTCCCTAAAGGCAGTGGCTCTTTTAGCAGTATGATGCACCCAGCCACACTGAAAAAAATGGTCATGATTTATTTGAGGAACATGTCAAAAAGTTCAAGGTGTTGCCTTGGCATCGTGCTGGATTAACAAAATCTATGGAGGCCCCACCTCACAACTTGCAGGAATTAAAGGATCTGCGGCTAATGTATTGGTGCCAGATAACAATCTTGCGCGGCTGCGAAAAAAAAATCCACGTTGTCTGTTGATATATCGAAATCGTCTTCCATTGCAATTTCGTGTCTATCTAAATATGTTTGAAGGATAATACTTCTGAAATCTCTGTGTAAACAATGAGTGACATAAACGTGTGAGAGATGACTTCCAGGGCTTTCCGGTGCGCTTGCGCAGATAGAAGCGCCCTCGCCCGCTTGGACATGACTGTGATTACAAGAGGTAAAAAAAAATCATATAAATACTGTTCGTTTTCTCACACAAACCGCTCGTTTTATGTCTTAGGCCATCAATGTGTTCTTACATTCACGAGTCATTAAATCCTGTTTAACTTGGACTTCTCTGTGCATGCTCTTTGAGGTGAACCAAGGGTGGACCCCATAAATCTCCATTATGTGACTGACAGACAAGAACGGTTTGACCTAAAAATATCACAATTGAAACTACAGCGGAAACAAAGACACCTACATCTTGGATGCCCTTGAGGTAAGCTAAAACATTTAAAAAAATTAATTTCAAAGTGAACTATTAAGCAGTGAGTTGTTGTTGAACAGGAAACACACCCCTGGATAGTTTTTACCCGAGGAAATCTAGCGTCACAACAATACGTTGAGCCATCTGCTTTAAATTTCACTTCTCCATCTTTCTTCCACATTCTACATCACATTTTCCTTGAACCCTTTCTGTCCTTCCTTATGCAACCTTATAATATTAACTTCACCAAACGTAATGGATTCAGCTTCATCCTTGCACTTACTCCTCAATAATACATTTAAGAAGGATAAGTGCTTTTTTAAAGCATTTATATAAGTGCAAGGCTATTTTAGAGCTGACAAAGCTGAATAAATCCATAGAGATAACGTTTTACACATTTGTTGTGGTCGAAAGAGTTGTTCCCTTTCAGTCGCTCACGTTCGACGTAGTGACTGATTGGGATCACGCTTAAAAAGCCTGTCATCTTCGAGAACTATTTAAACGAGCCAATGTAATTGGCGTGCATTAAATGTATTACACACTCCGCCCCCACAGCGCAGGTATAAATACAAAAGTGGATGCATGCTAACTAGTGAAGTCTTTCGCTTCGGAGCTGAACGTTTGATGTCTCTGAAGAGTGCGGTTGTTTACAACGAGCGTGTTCGTCGGTGTTCTTCTGGAAAACTCTCCCAGTGCTAGTGGTTCTACAGCGCGAGTGCAGCAGTGATCGCAAGCTTTGAGCTCTTAACTACTTGTAACAGCAACACATTTCTAAAGGTTTGTATGTGATGACGGCTGGTTAGAGGGTGAAAAAGTGAGTGCTTCACTGTTTCAGTTCATGACATGTGCACACACAACATTCAGCCCTGCTCATGACTTAGACCTGCTCAATCGTGCCGTCAACAAGCCTCATGACAGCTATGGCCAGGGAGAGTGGAGACTCCATTCCCAAGGCGATCCAGCTGGGCAGGGACTACTTCGGGGCCGCAGTTACATCTGTTGCCCCTCCGGACTCGTCCCTCTGCCAGTTGTGTTTCTGTCTGAGCGGACATCCCTTGGACAGAAACTGTCTCAGAAATGCGTTCCCCAGTAAGACTTCTAAGAAAGCGGGTATGTGATTCATTATCGATTGGCGCTGCTCAAGGACAAGGCGGCACGTCCGAAACCAGGCCTGTCACTCGTTAGGCTGGGTCCATTTGCTGTGATCCCTACGTCAATCCCATATGTGTTCTCTTTCACGATACGGCTCCTTGCGGCAAGCCCGTGTCTTCCCTTGGCAGAGTCTGCTCTGCCGTCACTGTTCGGTTGAGTCTCCCCTCTGTTTAGGCTGGAGCAACCCCAGTGACATTCCATATGTTGTATTGCCCGGTCATCCGCCCAGATCATATGTGTATTCTCCACATGTTACCTCCCTCTGGGCAGGATGTGGCTTCCGCAGCGTCCCTTCCTTCCATGTTCAGGGAACGTTTTCCCAGTGGTCCTGTGGGAACAGCAGTGACTTCCCTGGGCTAAGCCCTGTCCCTTCCCTGCCTTTATAGGCACTGGAAGGTGGCAGCACTAGATGGTGTTTTAATTGGGATCCCAATCAGTCGACTAAATCGAACACGAGTGACTGAAAGGGAACGTCTCGGTTACGTATGTAACCCTTGTTCCTTGAAGGAGGGAACGGAGACGTAGTCCCGTCGCCACTATTGCTTGACCACCGCTGACTCCGAGTTACGCTTGGCTCCTCAACGAAAAACAACTAGTTTTTTTTCATTCCCCCATTCTTGCCAGTGGTTACTCTTTTCTTAAAAACCTGACATTTCAACTCCAAACATCATTGCTTTATGGCAAAAGAAAACAAAGGCAATGTGGAGAAACAATGTCCATAATGTCCATTACAGCTGTGACTATTTAAGTCTCAAGGACTGAGTCATCGCCTCTCTAAGTCAGCACAATCTTACTGGATTACCTCAGTACTTCACTGCACAGACACACCCTTCTCTCGCCCACTCGCTCTGACAATTGATTGATAAGACAGTCTTCAATGCTGTAGTCTTGAACTACACCTTTTGTGTCACATGCACTTCATTGCTAATCTTGACCTATATTCTTGAAAACTTGTCGGAAATAAATGTAAGTTATTTTGGTTCACTGCTACGGCGGCAGGACACATGACTTAGGGAGGCATTTATATTTCTCATGCGAATAGGCCTATGTATTGAAGCATGTACATGGCTTCTTCTCAGGTATGAAAAACAAATGTTCTTTAAATTCGGAATATGTTATATGAATTATCATCACATAGACATTGTGCAAAGAGCGCTCCCTTTATAATCACTAAAAAGCTGTCACTCATTCATTGCAATTTCAAAAAATTTCCTTTATTATCAATGAAGCTGACAACACAATGAATCTCTAATTTACGGTACATAGTCTACACTTTGTCAAAGAGTTTGCAAACGTATAGAACTCTGCACTTGCAAAAACTTTTCTACCCTTAAACACCTCTGATTAGTCATTGCGTTCATACTACCATTCTAAAGTTGAGGGTCAGAAAATTATTATCATTATTTGTTTTTTAATTAGTTAATACCTCTATTCAGCAAGGACGATCAAAAGTGACACTGAAGTAATTTATAATGTTACAAAAGATGTATTTATTTTAAATAAATGCTGTTAGTTTAAACCATCAAAGAATACTGAAAAAAATTGAGTTTTAAAAAAAACAATGTTAATAATTCAACATTAAAAATCATAAGAAATGCAAAATAAGCACCAAATGAAAGGGAGGAGCTCAAATGGAGGAGGAGCTTGCTTGCATGCAAAATGTTTATTGTTCATTGGTTTTATTCAATATGCATTATTTTCAATTAAATATTTTCTGTGCATGGATGTAAATTTATGGTACGTAGATACTATGTGTATTTTGTAAACTTTTAAGCACAAGGTAGCTGATTCAAATGTTGAATCAGTCCCAAATGGTTCTTGAGCTTCATTTGCTTTGTAATTGAATAGACAATTAAAAAAAAAAAAACAGGTAAATTTGGTAATTTATATAAACGTATAAAAGTTTTTAAAAAACGTATAAAGTCTCCTGATGATGAAAATGTTTGTGAATTCTGTATGCTCAGGCATTTTTGTAAGATAAAGGTAAATGTGTCTCAAAAGCTATTTTATGTGAAATTACAGAAAATTGTTTACTGACTTTGCCCATCTATTTTGGTTGCATGTCCTAATCTTACAGTGTCTTTATAGATTAAATTGACTTTTTATGATTTGTATAACTTCTGTGCACAATAACAGGGCAGACAAATCATAAATGCAAATGTAACAAGTGAGTAGTCTGTGATGCATTTAAAACAGCGCTGTTCTTAAACACCCTTATCACAAATAAATCAACTGACAACAAAAACTTTGGGCTTTCTGAAGATATTTTTTCATTTAAAAAAATACTTTACTCATAACTGACAAAGCACTGGAAAGTACAGGAAATTACATAATGAACCATGCATCAGATGATCGGTATAGCCTGGTTGGGACACACCTTACAAACACAGCTGAAAACATTTCCATAATTTAAAAAATAGATATATTATGCTTTAATGTTGTCTTTATTATCATTTGTCCCTCAATGTGAAGCAAATGTAATCTTAAAGCATAATTTGCATTACCATCTCAACGATCTACAAGTCAAGTATAAGTCACTACGCATGGCAGACAAGATAACTTTGAGAAATGTGCGACTCAGCACATCACAGAACAGGATCTGTTCTAAAACAAAACTAACGTTGAGTCCCAATTGTTGCCCTTTCACCCAGATACACACCCACGTGAAGCAAGTGAGGAGTTTCTGTTGATCAGCCTGTTGTTGAGTTCTACGATCTTATGAATTGCCTGTGTGTGCTGCCAAAACACACACACTCATGTGCCCAATACCTTTTAATGACTGCTGCTGATGTCTTGAGATCTAAATAAGACAAATATGAAATGTAGAAAAACATAGGCCTACAAAACACATGCTGTATATTGAAAGTTACACAAACATGAGACCAGATTGTGTGCATAATACAATAACACCACAAGCACAGTAGTATATTTTACACCTCTAAAAATAACTGACCTACGCTCTTCACGACTGAAGCCGTTATGTGAGAACTGGTGTCGGGTGCTGGAAGGATTGGGACTAGTGGGAATGGGTTGAAGTGAATAGCATAACCTTTCCTCTAGTTTCCTTCCTTTCTCTGTCAGTGTGGCCTGCTTATATCACCAGCATGCCTCTCAGTCCTAACATAACTCCTACACATCCCACACACCACTCGCCGTACTGCAGTTGGCAGAACACAGGCCGTCTGAGCTTACGTGATGCATTCTGCTGTCTCTGACCCTGCTGCTTTCCTGAGTGCCCACCGGCAGACAAATTGACATGTGGCCTACATCCTAGACAGCCAGTTGAGGAGGATGTTTACTGCTATTCTGATTGCTTATGTAGTGATTTGGATAATTTCATTGATTAGAGCAGTGATTCCCAACCCGGAGGAACCTCAATTAAATATGAAGTGGGTTTAAGGAGGTAATTAAAACATATTTGAATTTTTTTTTTTTTTTTTTTTTTTGGAAATCAAATGCTAAAATCAAAATAAATGTTAAAATCATTAATGATTGTTTTTTGTTTTTTTTTTAGGCTTAACAAAAATACAACATTTTTTCCTGGTAACACTTTAGCTTTGGCTCCAATTCTCACTATTAATTTGCTTATTAGGATGCATGTTACTAGAATATTGGCTGTTAGTACTTATAAACCACATTTTAATGCTTTATTCTGCATTATATTCTACATCCCTTAATTCTACCCAACACCTAAACTTAACTACCTTTAATAAGCTGTAATTAGTAGTTTATGACAACAATTCTTTTAATCCTAAATAATATATCTTTAGTTTAAACATGGCATGATGATATTACCATCTTATTTGAGCCATTACTGTGATCAGTATTAATTCAGAAAACTTTGTCACATAGGACCAAATGATGAGCCCCCTTGCTGGAATATATTGTTTCATTAATATTTCAGTGACTTTAATGATGTAATAATGCAATTTAGGGGTGTAGAAACCACCATATCATGTTTCCATTCATATATTTCATTTTAAAGGGTTAGTTCACTCCCAAAAATATTGTCATCAATTACTCAACCACATAAGCATTAATCAGCGAATATAAATAGAAGCTACTTGCGCCTGATGTGTGAGAACAAACCTCATTGGTTCTTGCGGAAGCTCAAACGTGCTGCAAAACACACAAGAATGAACCTCACTGGTTCTTGCACATCACGGTTCTTGCTTGAGCATTAATGTTTCTTCAGAAAAATATTATATTATTATTATTTATTATTAAAATATATTTTTTGTTTCAAATATGAACTAAAGTCATACGGATTTGGAATGACACAAGGGTGAGTGAGTGTTAATTTTTTTAAGTGTACTAACTCTAAGGAAATTCTCAAAGACAAAATGTAAGTAATTCAAATATAACTAAAATGACTGCTAAATAGATTAAGGTCAAGATAACAAGCTTGGACCCCTGACAGCATTCATGCTCAGTGTCTCAGTTTCAGTGTGTATTTCTAGCAGGGACTAAAAAAAGATATTCCCTGAACAGAGTTTTCTTTCAAAGAATAACCTCATCTTTTTCAGCATCATCTATCACCTGCAGGAACTGTGATCAGAACGTCCTGACATTTTCCAAGATGACTTCGTTGAACATTGACTCAATTAAATGTTACTGCTTATAAAGGCAGACAAATGACGAGTTAGTGTAATCCCAGAAGGTGTGACTAAAAAAACGTATGAATTCAAGCTAGACAAAGGATTTTAGATACATTATTATAAACAATGTCGGTTACATCCACCTTACAACTCTAATAATTATTGTTGTTGTTTTTTAAAAGGTTCAGATCAGACTAGAGATTGAGGTAAGAATGTTTATTGTACTATCGTAATAATTGCTCTTCCAGATTTGAACGAGGTGCATTACATATTAAGTAAACTATAAAGACTATAAACATTCTGTCCTGAACCTAAAGTGTTTTCACAATTTGTTACATTGCACGATCTATATACTACAGGAAACAATTGTAAAATTGCAGGCCTGGAAATTAATAAAATCGTGCTCATAATATAAGTTGAATAAGTCAAAATATTGATCTTTTTGCAAAGACAATTTCTATAAAATTGTATTTTTATGTGTACGTCACTTTTATGTGCAGCCATGTTATGAAATTATTAATTTGTTCAAAAATACGTTTGCAACAAAAAACATATTAAAAAGCAGAAGACCATAAAACAAAGAGAACCCGCTTCAAACTGTGTCAAAAGTAAAAGAGGTATAAAATAGCACATATGTTGAACCTTAATTCTTGTAGGTTGATTTTTAAAAAAAGAAAAGAAAAAAAGAAATACAGTGAAAAAACCTGTTATTGTAAAAATAAAAATAAAATTATAGATTATAACTGTATCCACCCCATAATCATGCCGGTTGCATTAAACCCATTTATTTAATGTTATTAAATTAAATGTTAACACATTTCAATAAGGATTGTTGAATGACGATGAGGCTGACTAGTAAATGTTAGGTTAGGTAATGCATATGTTAACTAAAAATTAGCAACACATCCGTAACAGTGGTCTATTTATTAACCTTTTTACAAGATATAGTTAATAAAAATACAACTGTTCAAACATCATCAACAGACACAACTTCATGGCGTTAGTAAATGTTGGAATTAACTTGACCTAAAATGTAAAAATGTTTTAGAAGTATCTGTCATTGTTAGTTCTTGTTAGCTGATCTTACAATAAAAATGTTACAAATTGAACCTCATTGTTACCAATTATAAACTTGGTTGTAAGTAGCCTATAACTTGTTGTTTTTGCTTCTCCGTGCCTGCTAAGCTAATTTTGCTCCTCATGCTGTGTGTTTAGCCGTTACCTGTTTAAGCTGACTATATATGATGCACAAACATGTTTCACTATTATTTGTCTCCTAAAGGCTGCGACCTTTCGCCCAGTTCCGTCCTCTCATAGTTCATCGAGTTTACAGCGACACTGTTGACTCCCTCCACACGCCCATCTGCAGCCACGCACCCCGGGTCCTCCAATCGCTCGCCTATCACGCACTGATCACGCGCCGGCCTTCACACCATTGGCCAAGGTCTCACACACATTTGTTTTTCATTGGTGGCGTGTTGCCACCCGCCAGACTGTTGTGAATTTAGTTTCTCTTTTTTTCGGAGGCTTGTTTTACTCAGCTGCTGGTAAAAGCGAACTGAATTCCGGTGTCAGTCGCGTCACTGAACGGGCGGAGCTGCTCCATGTCTTTGTTCTGCTTTACTTTTAATTCAATATTTTTTTCGTACGTTTGAATACATGTCAACACACCAGTTTTCTAACATGGAAGAATTATGTGGGGTAAGATCGGGATATTTCGTTTTATACCATTTATATTTATGTAATATACATTTTTTTTTAATGAGTTGCTTGTGATTTACTGACACTGACTGGTCATTGCTGATTCAGTATGGTAAGGGAACTGAGGCGAATGACGTCAACTCTTACTTAATGTTACATTTTAACTGTATTTATCACCAATAAATGTTACAATGTATAACATTGTAAAGTTCTGAAAACATACAGCCGTCTTCGAGTTGACTGGCCCTGTTATAGTAAACAATACGCATCTGTTGTAGTCTACTACATTCAGTTTTAGTGGACACCGTTATTCCTGTTGGCTTCATTTAACCCTCAATTTGGCAACCAAGAAATCATTTTGCGCAATTTTGTATCTTAATTCTCTTGTCTTGCATTTATTTATAGTTTTTAATACAGTCACTCACTCCCTCTCTCACACAAGCAGACACTTTTATCATGTTTTTTCTTAGTCTCTTTTGTTGTTATTCTATTTTTCACAGTGGATTTCTTGTGTTATATTTATTAAACTTTAAATATTATATTTGGTAAGAGTGATGTCTTTAAAAAAAATCACGATTCTCAATTAAACTTAGAAAAATGCAAAAGAGAAGTGGTCTTTTGGAACCCACTTTAACATCCCACCTGTGCATTGTATTATGTAAAACAGTGAGGCTGGTTGAGATGTGCAGAAGTCAATCAGGTGTGCAGGACCTGTTGACACTGCTTTTATTAAAAAAAAAAAAAAAAAAAAAAAAAAAACTGCATGCATGTTTACTACTGGTGTTATTTCTCTGAAGAGCATTGGCTGGGAGGAGCTTTCAGTCAACGTTTTCTGGCCTCTGGCACTGCTCCCGTGTCTATCAGGGGGTTTCAAGTTTTGCTCACAGCCATTTCACATGGCCAGCTTGTGAGGACGTCACTGTTTTGGCTTTATTTGGCAGTGGGAGTTGACTTCAGCACTAATGATAGAGGGTCCCTGCAGACGGGCTGCAATAAAAAGGGCTCCTCTGTTAAAACTGTCTTACTGCTTTGGGATCCATGAATAGATAAAGACTTGAGAAAGACTCATTCAGACCCACCCAGCAGCTGAGCTGTATGTGTCAAAAAAACAGAGGGTTTTCTTTCATCTTTAACACATTACATTACATTAGTTTTGTTGTTTGTGGTTCTCAGGGAGCTCGGATGGAGGACTGTGAGGATTTTCTGGAAGGGAAAAAGCACAGTGAGCACTCTTCGTGCAGTGTTCTGGAATACAATGATCTTGAGGCTGCTGAAGCTCTGGTCTACATGAGCTTCTGGAGTCAGATGTCTCCAAAACCCAACACCTTCAAACCTCGCCCTCTCACACCAGCTTCAGACTCCTGCGATTCTTTCCCGCCCCCCGAACCACCAGAGATCCAGAGGGACTTCGTCTCGCTCTCCTCACTGGTAAGCGAGTATTCTTTCGTTGAAATTATCTGCTAGAAGGTAAAATATGTACACTTCAAGCTCTGTTTAATTTGACAACATTCACACCGGGGAACCTCAGGCGCCGCACAGCATAGCACAAAGCTCTTATCAGAACCTGATTTGTTTGCTGAAAACTTTGGGAAGGTTTTATGACACCCTGGACAGGTGGTAGTCTTGAGATAAGCTACATCTGCAAACTGAACTTCAGCACAGGCTCCTTTACTGTGTTTACACGACTCACCTGTGCCGTAATGAATGATGCTGAGAGATGAAAGGACAAAATAGCACAGCTGTGATATATTGAATTGAGCAGCCATTCATCCATTAGGAGATTCCACTAGTTTTTTGTAAAATAGCTTGATTTTTTGGGGATGCACCAATATTATGCTGGTCGATACAATAATAAGCCGATAATTATTTGCATGTTATGGTTGAAAATGAAAGAAAATGAAATATAAAACACTAAAACCAAAGTTTGTACTTGAACCAAATACTTGAATTTAGGTAGAATGTATAGTATAATGTAAAGTATGAAAAATTTATATTTATTTAGAGATTTGCTAAAGCCTTAACAGTGTTATTAAATTATTAGTCTTTTTATAAAATAACTTATATAGAGTATTATATATATTATAATTATATAAAATAGTGAAAAATGATCACCTAAATGTAAAAATAGGGCAAATGAGCATGCACAATCAAATATACAAATCTTAAAATGAATATAAATGATTTTCATTCTGTAGATTGTTTATAATTTGTGTAAATTTAAGTTGAAGTTTTAGTCTTTTATTTTTTATTTATCATGAATCTCGTATCGATCATAACATGAAAATAATTATCGGTGTATCTGTATTGGCCATTTTAATATTGGTGTACTCCTTAAAGAGATACTTCACCTCTGGATAGATGAAAGTGTATTTAAAATGGGTCATCCTGCATCCTATTTGAAGGTGGCACAACGGCGCGACGAGGGCTGTCGCAATTCAAAGTTATTTTATTTAAACTGTTAGTGTAAACTGTTAGAAGACAACAAACATAATCTAAATGTAAAAATAGGGGAAATGAGCATGCACAATTAAATATACAATCTCAATACAGATAAAATAAAAAATCTGATATGGCCTTGATATGCTGGACACTTCTTAACTCTGATTGTCTTATCTCCTTGCAGTGCATGACCCCACCACACAGCCCCAGCTTTACTGAGACCTCCAACACCACATCAGTGCCGGCCTCCCCATCACCACTTACCCGCTCCTGTCTCAGCCTCCCCAGCCCGAGATCTGCATGCCCCACCATGGCCTCCATCACTCAGGACCCCACAGAAAAGACCGCACCCCTGCCTTGCAGAGCCATGGCAACCAGCGTAATACGGCACACGGCCGACAGCTCCCTGTATCAGAACATTCCACAAAAGACTGTTCCTTCATCATCATCGCCCACCCTGACCTGCCAAACCCAGACCGACAACATGCCACCATGCCAAAACAGCAGCAGACTTCCTTCTAAGGATGATAAGTGCTTCATTACATCATCTCCTCAGCCACCGCCCCCAACCTCTAGTCCACCAATCATATGCCAGATGTTCCCGGTGGGCCAACCTGGAGTCATCTCAGCGACGTTCATTCAGAAGCCCAGCCCTGGGGTGAAGTCTATCTTGCCACAGCCGCTCCTGATGGGCTCTCCGGTGCCTCAGGGGACGGTGATGTTCGTGATGCCCCAGTCACCGGTGTCTTCGGCTCCACAGTGCCAACAGACTGTTATGACACTAGGCAACACCAAGCTCCTGCCTCTGGCTCCCGCGCCTGTTTACATGCCCTCGGGGCAGAGCAGCATCACGCAGGTCGACTTTTCCCGCAGGCGCAACTACGTCTGTAATTTCCCTGGTTGTCAGAAGACCTATTTCAAAAGTTCTCACCTAAAGGCGCATCTCAGAACCCACACAGGTAAATAATGATCAGTATGTAGCCTCAACTTCTAAAGTCTAGGTCAAGCAGGTCATCTAACATGTCTTGTTCTGCCTTTTAGGAGAGAAACCTTTTAGCTGCAACTGGGATGGCTGCGATAAGAAATTCGCACGCTCCGATGAGCTCTCTCGGCATCGGCGAACGCACACGGGCGAAAAGAAGTTTGTCTGCCCGGTGTGTGATCGAAGGTTTATGCGAAGCGACCACCTCACCAAGCACGCACGGCGACACATGACCACCAAGAAGATCCCATCCTGGCAAACAGAGGTGCGGAACCTTAACAAGATCACCGCTGCCAAGGCCTTGCCCACTGGCACAGCACTACCGGTCAGCATGTTGCTGCCAGCCTCAAACTGACTTTGATGGAGACTGAACTCTAAACCCTCACCAATGTTATGCAGGGACTCATGTTATGAGGGCAAGGCTGCTTATTCTCTCATGGGCAAAAACGTTATTATGCACTGGACTCCTGTCTTCTTTGCTGCACATATTTCACACATTTTGTTTACTATTGTGTAAAAGATTTATGCACTCTTTTTGCCAGTCTTTGTACTATGTTTGTCTTAAATTTTCTTACTTTTTCCTCTTCATTTTTTTTGTACATATCTAATGGAAATGTATGATGTATGCTAAACTACACAAAATTTGAAAAAAGAATTTATATATATACTACACTGTGATTATCATATAATACATTTATTTAATACTCCTTTTTTATTAAACAATGAAGATTAAGTGTGTTTTTGTGATTATTATTAATTTATTTTTAAGCACTAAAGGTTAAAAAAATACACCAGAAAAATTCAGCAACTCCTATGTGGTTTGGGATGGAGTGTTTTGGCTGTTGTTCTGCTTCCCACTGCTCTTGGCAGTAACAGTTCTTCCACTCGCACATTGCTGACGTGATGCATCACTTCCTGTAGGATTCGGGAGGTCTGTGTACAGGATATTTTTGTCTCAGGCATCACCTTTAATAGGCCTTTCACAGCAGCAAATTGACAGTCATTTCATTCGCCGCCAGTAGCCATTAAGTCAGTAAAAAGTTAGCAAAGTTGCTCTTTATTTAAAATAAACTCCTCTGAGCAAACAATATATCAGTTTATTATAAAGTTGACTATTGACATGTTTGAATAAATGACCTAGTTCCTTCTCTTATAATGTATAAATATTGTTTTTTTTTTTGTAAGTTATGTGGGCTACTTTTATGACGAAAAGCCTTCTTCATTTGCCAAACACATGCTGTTCCGACGAGCAAAAACAACTTATATTAGTTTTGGAAAGGGACATTTCACTGTTGTGAAATTACAACAACAAAAAAGAGTTTCCTTCATTATTGCTCACCACAGGCATGGCATAAATCGTGTGCTTTCCAGTGATACTAATGTTCCCACAGAGATTGAAACAGATGCCTGTAATTACTGCTCAGACCACTGTCAAACATATTTAAAAAAAAAAAAAAAAAAAAAATGCAGCATACTACTGCGTTTGAACGATAGCCTATCAGATTCAGAGCCTGATCAGATTACAAGACTAACTGTAGGTGTGGGAGGCGCGACCAATCAGCTTTCAGAACGGTACCCCGCCTCCTGCCTTACTGACCGACTTTCCCCAACCATGAAGAGGCCTTCAATCTACTGTCCAAAAATGCAGCAACAGCGATACCATGTGGCTTATTGTATTGTGTTTTTATTCTTCATCTCGGAAAGGTGCGTTTATTGAGAAGGTAATAAAATAAACACGTCATATTGTGCTATTTAATTTCTGCTATCAAAGGTCAGGCAGTTTAATATAATGTTAGTTTAAAATAGGCTATTGACACATAAAACAAGCTTCAAAACCTATCTAGATACTCTTCCATTTTGTAAATGTGTTTATTTATAAATATCATGAATGAATGACAGGAGACTACAGGACGTCTACAGATTTTCAACTCCATCCACTGAATTTTCACAACAGATATGAACAATATTGACAGGTTTCATTATTGATATATATATATATATATGTATATATATATATATATATATATATATATATATATATATATATATGGGCCATTTCGTTTGTCTGGTGTTGCTATAGCTACTAATAGGTTACTGTAGGTTACCTAAAATTAACTAAATCATTTTAAAGAAAACTGTACAATACCTGATTAATTCAACTGTGAAATGCAGATTTCCATTGTAGACCCCAGGTCCCAGCTGTAATCTGAAAAAACAAACAAAACAAAAAAACTATTTGTATGTATATATATATATGAATGTATGTATGTAATAAAAAATTTAATGCTGTAACATCAGTGATATAAAAATGATTCACAATACTTGATACTGTAGTAAGTCACTAGTGATCAATAATCCTTCAATGTGTCAATAAAACAGTGCATCAATATTTATTTTTAATTTAATTAACCATAAAAATAAAAAAGAGGATGTCTTATAAACCTTCATGTTGTGTTCCTGCAGCTTTGGAGAGGTTTCATTATTCAGTCTTTATATTAAGTAGAACAGGTTTTGTATTTATTTTTGGAACTGACTGATCGTAGGCCTGAGATTGTAGGATCTGAGCTTATGCACCACTTTTTTTTTTTTTTTTTAGATGAAGCTACAATTAACCTTTTTTTTAACTTAAAAAACTGAGGTGCATAAAGAAATAAAACACCTGTGCTAAGTGAAAGACAAGAAGTTGACAAAAACATTGAATCCAACCAATACTTGGTGAATGGTGATTGTATAGCATAATGTGAGATTTCCAACAATTTGACAAGATTGGTCAAGGTAAAACCAAATTATGTAAAGGATTTTCAGCACAGCACCAGTTTAATACAGGGGTTTTGAATTTCAATAGACATCCAAAGTCTTCAAATGATACATATTTTTTTTCTTTTTCTTTTTTTTCTCTTAAAGTGGCTTCACACACCTTACATTTAATGATATACAGGCAACTACTCTCAACCAAACATGGCACTGGACACAACCTAACTTCTTCCAGTGGAAATTATGTACGTGGAGATCAATAATAAATGAAAAACACTTACGAAGCTGTTGCTGTGCTCTCAAGTTTGGTACAGCTCAACAGGTCCTTTGGAGCCATGATCTTCTATTCAGAGAGCAAGGAAATAGATAGGGATTCCGTACTTAAATGACTTTAATTGTTTATATAATACATAGTTGATTCTAGTTGTCATTGGCCTACTGGCGAGGCCTTCACCTAAAAAAAAGTTCAAACAGCCATACCTTTTCATGAATGTTTCCGGTTGGTTTGTTCACTGAGTTAACTTTATTTTTGTCCTTCAATTCGCCACTCACATAAACACCAAACTGTGATTCATCATGTGTATTGCCCCTGTAAACGTTGTTGCTGTCTTTTCTTTTGGCAGAGTAAAGTCCAGACGACTTTGATCCAAATATTAGCATATAATAGGAAGACTAGTGTTATATCAGCGGTGTCACACTCTTCGGCATCGAGAATTCTGTCCACCTGCTTCACCGCAAGATCATCGGCGGAAGTTTTGTTTGAGGGACCCAACTGACTAGCATTCCGGTGACTGCCACTGACGTTTTCCTCCGTCACTGTCAACTACTCAAATACTCAAATAATTATTAATCTTTTTTTTATAGATTTAATAATACAGTCGTTGCAACCAGTGACGGTAAGCAACCAACCAACACTCGTATAATTCGCAAAAGTATATGGGCTGCAAGTACCCGACGCGACGCGTCTGTCTGTGAGTTGTAGATGACGTCAGCACTCCTTCGACCATTGAAAGACGTTGTTTACAAACTGCAAGCGTCGCGAGTGAACTGGAACAAACCAAACATTTAAAATCATTAATTAGTATTAGACCTATGTTTTTATTATTATTATTATACATTCATTTTCAATATGAAAATGTGTGTTTAACGCATTCACCTCAGGAAGTGTCTAATTTTAAGACATTTCTACCATTTTCTGCTTTGTTTTAGGATTCCCTAGATGTTTGCATCACTGCAGTGTTCAGTTTGATGTGAAACGTAATTATATATTTAAAGTTGCAGTGGTATTTGGGCATGTAACAGCTTAATTAATATGATATAAATCAAGTAAATCATTTCAGAACATTTTGGACTTTATTCAAACTGTTTGAGAGTTTTATAGAAAAAAAAAAATCAGAGATACAATATCAACACTTCCAAAAACACTTTTGTGTGAATTATCAAGCTGAACTGAAGTGGAAATTAATTAAAGAAAAAAAATAATTAGTTAAACAAACGCCTTACAAATAAATACATATACAACTGGAAAATATAATTAACAAAAAAAAAATTCCAGTCTTTTACAGCTCTGCTGCACTAAATATAACCATTGTGAAACACAATCAATGCAAAAAGGAAAATAATGTTCAATTGTACTATCTTGATGCACATGGCTAAATCTGCTAACTAGTAGCTACAGTTTATAAAATACATTAAAGTCAATGACAGTTTATTCATTAACTACTGCACAGCAGTAGGTCATTTAAATTGTTATAAATTCAGCAGAGAGAAGACAACAGTTCAAACTGTTATTTCCTAGAAGCATTGTCCCGCTAAATATTTTTCTGCACGCCCTTTGAATTTAAGTAACAGATTACACAATCTGTTCTTTTCTTCATCATTATTGATTAATCAATCAAACTAATTTGGTGAGTCTATTGAGATTCCTCATTGTGCCTCACACATTCCATGGTTACTGTATAGCAAGCCAGCAGTCTAAGCATCCTGTTTGCACACGGTTAATGTCAGGGTAACGCAGTGGCAACGTATGCCATTTCCCCAGTCACTGTATGGTACACCGCTCATGGGGCTGCTCCTCACTGGCAGCGCTGCTGGGGGTCTGGGATTTTCTTATGCCTTTAGATGGGGCAGCTGAACCATGATCTATAATGTGCTGCAGTACATCTTTACTCTCACTAGGTGGCAGGTTATAGAAGAAGTACTGTGGCGCCATCTGAATGAACCTGTCACAAGCAAACAGCAAAGAAACGATAAAATTACAATGCACAGAAGAACAATTTGCTCAAATGGTCAAAAGAAAGAGTAAATGGCATGCTAAACAAATTAAAAAGCTTCATAAGGAAATTTGAAATAAATATATTTGTAAGTTGTAAGACACTGAGCTAAATGAAATTATCGTATTGTACATTATTTACTAATGAAGTCACTTTCTGTAATTCTGTCATCTAGTTTTCTAGACAAAGCAGATGATCCAGTACTTACTCATGTGCTGAGATCTGAGAGACAGTTCTGATACAGTTGTTCTCTGATAGCGTGTGCTCATGGTACAGAACCCAATCTGGAAGATTCTTCTTGTTCATCTCGGTTCCATAGCCAGACAGTGGGTGGATCTGAGCCACATGTTTATGGGTTAGCATGAAGTAATTCCCTGACCCGTCAATGTCCCTCGCCACCTGGAAAACCCAACACAGAGATTAAACATTTTAAAATGCACTAGAAAAGCACCCAGGCAGTGTTTTAGGAGCACTAAAGATACTTAAATATGTAAATCAATGTGCTTTTTGCTAATCTGCCTTAATCACAGACATTACTGTCCCAAGGCAATAATTTAAAAGAGAATTAGCGCACTGATTTTTACTGCTGTGCACTACTACAGTGCATTTGAGACAGATATTAATCCTCTTTGTTGTTCAGTTTTAGAGAAACTCTGAGCTTTTACCATTAGGAACTAAGCACATTTCCAAAATGCAAGGTACAATATTATTCTGTATTACGTATAGAATCTCTATATCCATACCTGCATGAAGAAGCCAGCTAGTAATGCACGTTTGATGTTCAAGTTGTTGTTTTTAGAGCCAAAGGCGGGTAAGGACACTGGCAGCTCTATCCGTTTCAGGATTTCTGTTAGCTCAGAGCGTATCGCATCTGCTGTCTGAAGAGCAGCCAGACTAAGGAAATGGTCTTCACACCACTGTTCCACACTAGAGTCTGAAATGTGAATGTGAAATCGACTCTTTATATGTTAATATGTCCTGTTTAATTCACCATATTGGCTATTATAGGCTATACAGCTTTTGTGCTTTGTATTTACTCACATGGCCCTTCCTTAGCATATCTGTAAGCATTAAATATGTTAATAAGGGTGAAGTGGTCTCCTTCAGCATGCTGGAACCTCTGATGACACAGCAAGGCCTTCTGTCTCATTTCCACTGGGGGTGTAAGGAAACTGCTCGGAGCTAAATTACAAAGTAAGAGAGAGCAATTTAAAGCTTTATAGTCAATCATAAATGTTTTTTTTTTCATTATAGATTTTTTAATAATTAAATGTTGTTATAATAATAATAATAAAACTAAATATAGTATAATAAAATAAATATTTGTTAAAGTATTTTTTGATTTTTTTTTTTTTAGTATTCGTAATAATAATAGTGGCAGAGTAAGTGAATTTATTAGTAGAGGTTAAATTATCCATACATTTTAATGGGGTAAAAAAAGGTACAGTCACTTTGGTACAACAACAGTGATCTGACATGATTTCCAAATATAACTGGATGGAGCAAAGTCCTATCGGAAGTGCTGACACGTGGTACACCTGTTGAGTGGATTGTACTGAACAAGGATTACCTGTTAGCATGGCAGCGATGGTCAGCACTTCACTCACACAGTCGAATTCGCAAGACGCAAGCAAAGTCTTAGCCATCTGTGGCTCAAGAGGAAACTCTGACATGATAATTCCAATCTCAGAGAGATTCCCGTCATCATCCAAAGCAGCAAGATAGTCGAGTTCCTCTAAAGCTTGCATGAGGCCTTCTGGATCTATGGTAGGGTGGATACAAATATTTAGTATATTTCAAACTATTAATCACAGTTTTCCAAGTGTGGCATTAATCTATTCTGGAAAAATATGCAGAATAGTTTGAAAAAAAAACTGACCCAGGGGTGTCATTCTTAACTAAAACCATTCAAATCCATTTCTTTAAATTAAATAGCAGTGAAATAAAATAAAATATTAGATGATATTTTAGTTTTTTTTTCTTTACTGTAGTTGAAGTGCAATAATTACTGAAACTGAAGCTGAAACAAAAATAAATTAAAGCTAAATAGGAATTTAAAAAATACAACAAAAGCACATAAAATTACTCAAACTTGACAGTGAAATTATATATAACACAAATTGTATATAAATAATGATAAAAATAAATAAAGCAGTTAACTCATAAAAATAAATGAGTTATTGTTTTAAAAGTAGCAGACTGGTTAATTTCAATAACATAAGAACAAAAAAGTAAAATTATGGGCTGTCATTTTTACATTTAAAACTATAGACCTTACTCACAGCAGCGCCATCTTTGATTTGTAATGGGAATAAAGGTGAGGCTGTGAGGAATAGACATGCACCTCTTAGGTGGTTTGTCCTGTTAATAATAATAATTCATTACATTTATAAAGCACTTTTCTCTGCACTCAAAGCGCTTAAAAGAGTTTTATTTAAAGTGTTTTTGGATTGTAATATCAGTGGATAAAAAACTCCAGAAAAACATGAGCTGTGGAACATTGATAAGTGATCTAGGAGCTTCATTCAGCTTTTCACAATGGATAGTATTGAAAAAAACAGCAAGTCTTTCCCTCACAGCCTCGCTTTCATATCTGACACACCTGAGCAAGTATTATTGTGGGAATAAATCAAAAGGTTATCAACTGTAAGCTGCGGTGCATTCTCTCAATAGAAACGCTTGTTAGTCCGACAGAGCAGACAGTAAACAGACAATGAACTCTCACTAATTTGTGGCATCATAACAAAAGCACCCCGCATATTTGCTCAGTTGCATCATGAGATAAACAAGTTCATCTAGTTCACCGCTCTTGTCGTAGCTCCACTAATGATGCTGCTCATCTGACTGGTGTGTGTTATGGAAGCAGGTTATCTCTGGAACAATGAACGCAGTCAGAGTGCTGTCGGCTCAGCTAAAGCACGGCTCACCACCTCTTAATACCAGCAGTGAGCAGAACAGACCCATCTGCACCCTTACTGTGAGCCAAGAGAACCTGGATGATCCCAGCTTTGCTCGGCTGCTGTAAACAGCGGAGAGTGAACTTGTTTGTGTTCAGATGGACTGCTTAGATTCATGTGAGGGATTCTAGTGTGAGTGTATGAATTATTGAATATGGTTATCTCCAATATGTGGAAAACATTCACAGTTTGAAATTAGTACACAATATATCAATAATAGTAAAAAAAAAAAATCCCTTATATTTACATTGAGGGCAGAACCCGAGTCAGATCTAGAGTGGGCTTTTTTTGATTTGGAAGTAAGAGGTTTGATTAAATAGGAAGGATCTCACCTGGTCTGTCAATGAAGTCACAGTGGCTCAGGCCAGCAATTTCCATGCGCTTTAGGAAGAGCACAGTGGAAGTGATGTCAGACTCAAGAATGTGAGGGACGCTCTCAACAGGAAGTGAAGTGTCCTCTTGATACAAACAGAAACACTTGCCTGCATACATGAAAATACATGAAATACATGAAAGTACAAGTCAACTTATTCTACTAACCCATAACCCTTTATTCTACTAACCCTAATCCTATCCCAAAAGTCTACTAATGCTCAACTAATACTCTAACGAGAGTTAGTTGACATTTAGGTGCAACGTTATGTAGTCAACATAATATCTAAAGGGGACCATCAAAATTCAGTTTAACATCTGTTCTTAATATTTTTGTGAATATTATTGATTAAGTGTGTTTTTCATTGATTAATTAAAAGTTTCAAAAGAACAGCATTTAATTAATGTAGACATTTTTGATATTATAAAAATGTCTGCTGATCAATTTAATGTCTTTTCTTTGCTGAATAAAAATATTACTTAAAAAAATACGCTAGCGTATAAGGAAATATTGAATTATTTTATAATCAGTAATATCTTTCTTTTATAATTTTAGAAAGCAAAAAGCTCTCACCTGTTGGGCCTGCAAGTTGTTTTCGGCTCTCGGCTTGGCTCTTGCTGATTGGTCGAATAACAATGGAGTTGGCTCTGATTCTAGGATTGTAAACCTGTCACAAAGAAACATCACAGTTTCATGTCCACCAATGAAAATGTATAAAAGCAGAGCTAATAATAAGGAATAGTCTGTAAAGTTCAAAATAATAAAATGAAACAATCACTACATACATATCTTTTTTGCACTCCAGCATCAATCACAAAGCGAATGCTCTGAACGGCCCAGAATAAGTCTTCACTGGGGCTGCAGGTGAGGAAGACTCTCCTACTCTTGCTCTCCTCAGAGAGCACTGAGAGACTGTCTCCCTGCGCAGGGCACAGAGACACGGGCACCAGCTCGCCGTGAGACAATGCAAGATTGACACCCTCTCGCCGCAAAATGGCATGGGCACATTCAATCTCCTTGAAAATGAAACAAGAAAGAAAAGTTTCTATTACCATGGCAATGGGACCTTTTTCAGTTCTATGCTAGATACGTTGAAGGAAGACAGGGACATTCACGTTGCACAAAAACTAAGGATCCTTTAAAATAATGATCTGCCAGTAGCCTGGGCTCACACAGGCTGAGATCTAATATACATACAAATACACAATAAAAACATCAAATTTTAGTAAAGACTGTGAGGTTGAGTTCACACTTAGTTCTCTTGGTCCAAAACAAAAAAGAAAATGATTAATTTAGTCCTGGTAAACTTAGCATTCACACTGTCATTTTTGCGCTACTTGTGCACATTCTGTCCTTTTTAGGGTAGCATTTTGTGGCATCACGTCCTGTTTGTGGTCCGTTTATATGTCTTTGGTCCGTGTCGAGTTAATATTTCATTCGAACCGCACCAGAGTTCATTTGGAAATGGGCCGAGACCCATCATTTCAGTGGTCCGCTTGTTTGGTGCACACCAGGGTTCGGATGGCAGTGTTCACGCTTCAAATGAACCCCACTAACAGAGTAATCGCACCAGGGGTTGTTTTCATCAAACTAAACCTGCCAAGTGTGAACAACACACCCTAAAACTACAACTGAGACGGAGTCCTTAAATCTGTGTGTATTTTTACACACAAGACATTACTATTAATTATTAACAAATATATTTTTTATAAATTAATAAATATAATTATTTATGTTTTGCAGATATGAAATTACACACCTGAAATGCAAAATAAAGTGATCATATAAAACATTATTATATTATATATATGCTATAGATAATTATTTTTTGTTTTAATGTAAAATTTTATTAATAGCTTAAAAATAACTTTAAAATAATTAGACATTTTTATTCATAAATGAATGCAATAAATAAATTGAATTTATAAATATTAATTATAAAAAATTAATGTGTTCATTTATAAAATGATTTATAATAAATATTTTCAAAAAAGTCATCAAAATGCAAACAACTAGTCCACTGTCTCATCCATCAACGTTTAAATGTCTCTTACTTGCTCAGTTGCCAGAAATGTGACAATGTCTCCATGGTTTTGATTCTGATGTATCTCCAGTGCCAGTCTAAGAGCAGAGCAGAGGTAATCCTTCACACCTCCTCTCCCACTCCCATACACCACCTCGCACGGCTGTGGCCCTTCCAGCCGGATCTGAGGAACGCTTCCATAGTGACTTAGCAGTTTCTCAGCGGAGAGAGTGGCGGTGAGGATGACCAGTCTGAGCTCTGGCCGTGCGAGGAGCACGTCTTTGAGCAGCCCGAGGAGCAGGTCTGTGCTGACGGTACGTTCCTGGGCCTGATCAATAACCACCACACCACACTGCTCCAAGAGGGGGTCTGACATCATTTCCCGGAGCAGCACATCATCTGTGCAGTACCTGCAAAGCAACAGATGTCATTGCAGGCCTCTTCGAGAGTGCTATTAAATACAAAATCCTTCTTAAATGCATCTACAAACAAAAATTTGGGTGGTGATGGCACAGTGGATTAGACACATGCCTTTGGTGTGAGGGACCTGGGTTCGAATCCACTATGAGACACCAATGTGTCCCTGAGCAAGACACTTAACCCCTAGTTGCTCCAGAGGCGTGCGACCTCTGACATATATAGCAATTTTAAGTCGCTTTGTATAAAGTGTCAGCTAAATGAATAAAAATGTAAATGTAAAATAACAAGCTAAGTGAAGACAAGCAGACACGATTAGATGGGAATTTTCAGTGTTTTCTTTAAGGTCAGCATTTTCATTAAGTCAGACTCTCTCAGCTGTTTTAATCACTGTTCTGGCTCTTTGTTCGCCAGGCTGACTTATGGCGGCTCTGAAAGGTTTGATGAAGCATATGGACAGCATGGAAGTACGGCAGCTGCTGTGGAGACCCTCAGACCGAGCCCCCTCAGCCTTTTGTTAGCTTTTATATTGTTTAGAGAAGTCCCTGAAAAGGAGATGCACGTGTGGTGGTAATGACGGGGGGAGGGGCAGATAGTGACATTTAATGGAAGAGAATGTCCAGGACAAATGACCAAATAATGTGCAGGCTTTACTTTTCTGAAGATGCCTCTGGATCATATACACACCTCAGGACAGTGTCAGGGGAGCTGCAGGTCTGAAGTGGGATGCTGTACCCAACCTCATTGCCGATGTTCACGTCCATCTCGTCGGCCACACGGAGGGCCAGTTCCACCGTGCTCTGTTGGTGAATCTGAGTGCACACTACCATGCCATTCTGATACTGCGTAGACAGGCAAAACTCTGCACACCACTGAGGGATCTAAAAGAAGATTAAGCCGGATAACACATGCTCAAAAATAAAACTCACAATAATATACTTTTGATATTTTCAATTCTAAACTAGGAGTGAATACGTTGTTTCTGCCCTGTTCATTTGCTTTATTTTCATTTGCATTAAAGATGAAGCAATGTGTTCACATTAAATTTAATAACAATAAACTCAATTCAGTTAAACATTTAGCCCTAATGTGTCCATTAGGTCAGAATATGGCATAATATGAGTAAAAAAAAAAAACATTAGAATACTTCTTTAATAACATTTTAAAGTACAAGTTAACACCCTTGTTGTATGATAAACATAAACTCACCTGAGTGCTTTGTCCTGTTTTAGATGTGCCAGTAACTATCACAATCTGACTGTTGATCAAACTGTCCATAAACTCGCATTTCGCTCCCCACACCGGCAGACCTTTTCTTTCTCTTAATAGTTTGTAATATCTTGAAGAAAAGGGGAGCCCGTCGAACTGATTTAACTCCAGCATATCATCCGAATCAATATCTTGAGTTTCGTTGGTTTCGGATAGTGTTTCCACATCTGTTGATGGTTCCATCTCCGTCGCTTTCCTAATTCACCTCTCTCTTCAATTGCACAAATAAATCAAAAGGAACAAGTTGACTGTCTGGATACGATGAAACGCTCTATTATTCTTGTGACATATTTATGGCGTTAAATAGATGACCTCTTCCAGATAAGTTTTAGAGACCCGCGCTCAAGCGATGCAGACTCTTTGTGTCATCAGTTGTCCCGCTCAGCGCACCAGCGATGTTCGATTCGTGAATGAATCGCCTTTTTTGAGTCGGATCCTTTCAATGAACAAAACCGGTTCGTTCACCAGGCGCACTCTCGAGTCAGCATGGCTATAGACCATTTCACAAGATGTAAACAACACTGGTCCAGAAGCACTTCCTGTTTCAGTTTCTAACTGTTTTCTTTATTTCACATGTAAAGAAAACATCTTAAAGATGTTTGTTTAACTTTTTGATTCAGTTTTAAATGTTCTGTTGGTTGTATTTTATCCCAGCTTTTATGTAGTGTTAAAAAACTGAAACAGGAAGTGCTTCTAGACCAGTGTCCAGTGTTGTTTACATCTTTTGAAATGGTCTTAGATAGCATTTTAAATTCAGCACCAATGATTTGTAATAGAAACACGACACTGTTTTTTTTTTAATGAATAAAGTAGGCTAGTCGGCCTATTGTTTATTGCAAATGTATGTTTAGGCTAGGCAGCCCCAAACAAGCTTACTACATTAATGAAAAACAACAACAACAACAACAACAACATTTCCAAGTGGGCCTCAAGATGAATTTAACATTTATTAATTTGAAAAGTGTGACATTTTATAACATTTTAAAACACCACAAGCATTGCTATAATGAGTAACCTATAGGTCTACATTTTATATAATATAAAAAAAATATAGGCCTATAGAATATTTTATTGGGTAGAAATTGTGAGGCAATATATATATAAAAAAAGAAGGTCATGCATAATCATGTAATTTACTATGGACCACGTGATGAGGTAAAATAATTACTGAATCTTTTTGACCCAGTTCTTTAACATGAATTGTTCAAAAGAACCGATTCGGTCTTACCGGTCCGTCATGAGCGCATTGAATCACCGCTGGGACGCGCAGCGGCAGAGATTTTAAGTAGTCATGTGGTCATTAATCTCATCATCACAATAGATAGATCCCCAAATGATGAAAGTGACTATTGCAGGGTAAACAACATTAACAAGGTTCAGTCTTGATAACCGTGGCTACTTCGCTCTCATGTTTAAAACAAAAACAATTTGCTGAAATTGGGAAACTCATGTTTAGTGCAATGGTTCACACAGATTGCGCAGCGCCACCAACTGTGTCATGTGTCACCATGACGACGGTGCTAGCAGTCAGATGTGTGTGAGAGAGACACACACACACACACACACACACACACACACACACACACACACACACACACACACACACACACAGCAGCAGCGGCAGCAGAGCAGACCTATCATCCTCCGTGTGGGGAATTTCTCGATACAAGGACTGAGTCTGACTGAGACGATGAACCCAGGTAGACATTTGATTTGTGTTTCGTGGCTAACGTTACTAGTTTATTGTCACGCCATTTTATAAACACACAAAAACATATTTCATCAAAAACTTGTTTACGCTTGTAAAATAGCCTATAATTACATAGAGGAAAACAGAAAGAATAGATGAAAATTGCAGGCAGCAATAAGTTACGTAATGCTTGATATAATTGTTTACAACCTTTTCAGACAAACTTTATTCAAAACAACACCACACAATGATTTCAATAATTTTCATATACCATAGGCTATATTTTTTTTCCTCTATTTGATTAATCTAAGAAAAATATTTATTTTACAATATTAAAATATTAAATATTTAGCCTATTTATACTTTATGAAGAGCTGCATTAAAAAAAAAAAAAAAAACATCCTCAAGTTTTCTCCAGGAACAGTGATTAAAAAGTAATGGAAAATCTTATCATCACCAATCCAGGAACAAGCTTTATGTTTATTCAAAACAACACCACCACAAAATACCTTCAATAAATTAATTTTCTTATACCACACGTTCCTTTCTTGCTCTCTTATATTTGATATAATACATGTATTTATGTCCATCCATATCCATCTTGTATGTATTTATGTATTTGGAAAATTGTGCTGCATTTGATTGTGGAAAGAAAAAGTTTTCTCCTGCAACAGTGATTAAAAAGTAATGGATAATCTTTTAACTCAATCACTGATCCAGGAACAATCTTCTGTTAGTTATTCTTGGTGCATGTTACGTGATATTCATGACCTTTATTAAGATGAAACCATAGGCTGGCGTTTATATGTCACCTGAATAGCAAAATCATTCCATGGATGCTGCAGTATCAAATAACTGCATATTAACCACAGATTGGTTTGGTTTTCAGCCCTTGTCAAAACATGCGTATGATTAACAAAAAGTAACATAACTGTGTTGGAAGTGACTACAAACATATGCCTAAAATTCACATCAAACCTCACTTTAATACAAACAATGTACATGATGTTAAGAACATGCCACTTACTTTCTGTTTCTCCAGCAAAATCTCCAGACCTCCCTCAGCCACCTGTGATTGGGAAGGTCAGTCACCACAGTATCGAGATGAGCTGGTTGAATGAAGAGAACAAATCTCGAACTGGCCCCCCTGAACACTGGACCCACTTCTCTGTGGAACAGATGGACCCCAAAACACACACATTCAGCTCCATATACATGTCAGTGTCCCTATCTCTTTTTGATTTATCACTTCAATTATTACCATATTTAAACTGTCTTTTCAGCAACACAGCCCTGTTTTGGTGTTTTATCACAGAGGGTACAGCACCCGGCATGTTGTAGAAGGATTGAAGTCCAGCACCCATTACAGTTTTAGACTGATGGTCACCAGACCTTCAGGGGAGTTCAGCTTCAGCCCTGTAGTCTCTGTCTTCACCAAACGTGAGAGATTTTACCTCTAGTCGAAGACTTAAACTTAATCAAAGTATATCCCTAAAAAAAAATTAATGAAAATAATTCACAAAATTATTAAGCAGCACAACTTTTTTTCAACACTGATATCAATATATGTAATCAGATTACTCCCCCCCCCCCAAGTAAATGCTAAAGTAATGCATTACTTTTACATTTAGTATCTGAGTATGTAACTTAATGCAGCCTTGGCAACATCAAGAGGCATTAAAAAAAATCTAACCAACCAACCAACGGTAGTGTATTTGGTCAATGTTCTGATGGTGTGTGACCACAGGAGAGCCTTTCAGTGGGGAGAACCTCCACCAGGCTTTGAACAGGGAGAATGAGCAGGAGCTGACCACAGTGCTACAGTCAAGGTGAGACACACTGACCACCTGGAAGACCACAAAATCACCTCTTCATATGCTATATTAGTACTAACATTGAAGTAATCAAGGGGACATTTGACCCACACAGGTTTGGAATGAATCTGAGATTTAAATACGAGTTCACATATTGTTCGTGACACCTCATATGTAATTCCTCTCCTTAGAATGGTCAATGTGGATGTTCATGACAAAATGGGTTTCACCCCTCTCATGGTAGCAGCACAGAAAGGTTTCACCAGGTAAACTTGCGTCTGATGTTTCTAAAGCTAATCTAGCGGCGAACTACTGAATCTCCCATTAGTCCCAGTTGCTATGTTTCATGAGAGATAAAAAAAATCAATCATGTCATAAATTTCTACTTGAGATCAGTTTCTGTTTGGTTTGTAGCTTAGCAGACATTTTGGTGAAGCACGGAGCTGATATTAACAAGAGAGATAGCACTGGAAGAAACAGGTGAGCTCGCGTGTGCCTTTTCAGTGCAGCTCTGCAGTTTCATTTTATAATCATTCATGTCATCTACTTAATTTTGTTCATCTATGCATGTGTTTTTGTTTTTTCAGTCTAATGCAGGCCTGTTACTCTGGTCACCTGGATATGGTGAAGTACCTGCGTAAGTGCGGGTCAACATGGCAGTCTCGAGACACGGATGGATGCTCGCCGCTCCACTGGGCTGTGGATGGAGAACACCTGCCTGTTATTACATACATGATCCAAGATGGTTGTGAGGTCAGAGGTCAATTTTTCAGTCATTTGATGTGATGTGATAGAACCATATGGAAAGAACCATAGGTTAGTATACATTAAAGTAGGTTTATAGCAGAAATTATATAAGTACCTATTTAAGTTAATTTTATTAAAGGGATAGTTCACCCAAAAATGAAAATTCTGTCAGTATTTACTCACCCTCATGTTGTTCCAACCCCGTAAGACCTTCGTTCATCATCGGAACACGAATTAAGATATTTTTGATGAAATCTGAGAGCTGGATCACTCCTCCATACTAGTCCATAGGCTTCTTGAGGGATTGATACTTGCCAGCCTCGAAAAGTTATTAAAGACATCGTTAAAATAGTCCAAATGACTACAGTGGCTCAATCTTAAGTTTATCAAACGACAATAACACTTTTTGAGCGCAAAAACAAACAAAAATAACAACTTAGCTATATAACAAGCTATATTGCGTGTGAGGATGTTGGTGGTGGAGATTTGTTCCGTGCCGAGGCACAACCCGCGTAAAGTTAACAATTCCACGAATGCCTGCAATTGCAGATTTCTAATAGGAAAAAGAGGAAAACCTATGGACTGCAGCTTTAAGTATGCTTAAATGTAGTTTAACCCCCTGAGACCTAAGGGTATTTTTACAATTAATTTTCCGTCTGGTGTTATTTACTAAAAAAGCTTGTAAAACATCAACCCTTTGGTGCACAGGCAATTGACATAGCTCTTTTTTTTTCAGGACAAATTGAACTTTCAGCATATTTGTGTTGCATTGATGTCACCTGAATGTAAAATAAGTTATGGGACCATAAAGACAAATGAAAAAATAAATCGGAAATTGAATCACTCAAATATTTGTTGAAATCACACACGGTCTCAGAGGGTTAAAGCATATTTGTGAGAAGTAGACTGAAAGTAAACTTATTTTTAGTTTAAAAGAAGTATTTATGACCAGTTATCACTGATATTTTAGATGAAACCTCTTTTGACAGCCATCTGGGAGGGCCTACTTCTCTGTCAAATGTTGAGTTAGACCCTTGTCAGTTTAACATCTGCGTTTTTGTCCTCTGACAGGTGGATGTGATGGATAAAGTGTCTCTCTGGACTCCTCTCATGCATGTGTCAGCCATCAG